ACCCCCAATAACTGCCCCCCCCTACAGCATGTGAATCCTGCATACAGCAAGGCAGCACTAACCCTCCAATAACTGACCCCCCTGCAGCATGTGAATCCTACATACAGCAAGGTAGCACTGACCCCCCTGCAGCATGTGAATCCCGCATACAGCAAGGCAGCACTAACCCTCCAATAACTGACCTGCAGCATGTGAATCCCACATACAGCAAGGTAGCACTTTACCTGTGCCGGCTCTAACACCAGTAGTGGCAGGATTAATATGTCTCAAACTTCACCCATCTCACCCACCCAGCCAGCATAACATTATTAGGATATTATTGTGGGACTTATTTACTAAGCTCTCAGATTAAAACCTGATTAGCAAAATGTAGAGTAAAATAACTCCCCTACAAAATGCCAATAGGTGACAGTTCGGTGATAAAATTCAGGTATATCTATAAAATCCCCCATACATCCATGTTGGTAGTATTGTGAGATATGTCAGTTTATAGTGTTCCCTTTGGTCATGTAGCCTGTCAGTCATTATGTGTGATCCACTCTGGTAGCCGAGTAACAAATGTCGATTTTCCATAAATCTGTGACTGACAAGCGAGTAATTATTTTATTGTGATTATTTTCCAGGACTGTGTATGTATATAAATTAATAAAGGATCCATGCCAGGTGAAGATGGAGATAATTCTGCTCCCAGACCAATCCCCCCTCCTCCGTTACCCCCACCTGTCCAAGTGCCCTCTGTCCCACAATCTGACGTAAAAAGCAAGTTCTATAAGAAGGTGGCCGAGAGCAGTGACCCATCAGCTGGAGAATGCAATGAGTTGAAAAGGATGATCAAAAACCGTCAGAGCAGGTACATTGTGTGCGAAGTAGGCCAACTGTGTGCAGTCAATACCGGGAAGGTACATTCTGTGTGCGGTAATGGCAGATGGTTGCCAGATAGGACAAGGGGTCTAAGTACAGAATCTTATCGACCAAAAACACTAAAACAGTCCTACCTCCCAAGCGTTATGTATCTGGTGGAGATGTTGCCGGAGGGAAACCCATAGGATGCAGCTATAAGAAAACTCAGATTCTCTTAAAATATGATAATTCATGCTTTCATCTTTCAAGTAAATCCATAACCCCTAACAGCAGTGTCCAGTGAAGCAGGAAGTCAATGGGCAATGTAAAAGAGTGTGCCACTGACGCAGATCATGTAACCAGAACTTCCGAAAGGGAGGGACATGCCCAAAAAGGAGGTGTGGCTGCCCAAAGAATTGGAAGGCTAGCCTGGCATGAATGCAGGCTGGCCAACAGCATCCTGAGCTTGGCATAAATGCGTCTAATGATGCACTCGCTCCACGCTTTCTAATGACTGTCCCCTAGCACTCGCTGATCCACTTGTCTCCTTACCTTCTTACTAGCAGGCAGAAGCTCCTGCTATACAGTCTGAGACAGTGAGTGTAGAAAAAAGGGAACATCCACAGTGTTAGAGAGACCAAAGTAAGCATTACCTTAAAGGGACACTATAGTCACCCACACCACTTCAGCTCAATGAAGTGGTCTGGGTGCCAGGTCCCTCAGGTTTTAACCCTTCAGATGCAAACATAACAGTTTCAAAGAAACTGATATGTTTACATTTGGGGTTAATCCAGCCTCTTGTGGCTGTCTTCCGGACAGCTACTAGAGGCGCATCTGCGACGTTGGAGGCACTTTTCGCCTCCATCGTGCAGAGCGTCCATAGGAAAGCATTGAGGAATGCTTTCATATGGACACTTTGAATGTGCGCACTGCACTTGCCGCGCATGTTCATTTGGCTACGCTGACGTCGGATGGGGGAGCTGACGTTGGCGGGGGAGGAGAGGTCACCAGCGCCGAGGGAGCCTCCCTTGGCGCTGGAATAATGGAAGCTGCTGAAAACGGGTTTGTTTTTCTGACACTATGATCCTTTAACTAATTTCATTTCAGCTAGTCCACACAAGTTTTGTTTCCATCTATCCATCTTAAGTTTCCATACTTAAAAAAGAGTATGTGAAGAGTAGTTAGGGTTGCCTTTCTTAGAAAAAAATACAGGCCTTACTAATTTGCATAACTAATTATGTATGTGTGACATCACATGATTTAAATCACAAGGAGTGACATCAGAGAAAATTCTGTAAAATCACCAAAAAACTACTTACAATTTGATTCTGCTGTGTGGATGGATTGCTCCCAGTGTCCCCATGTCGCCCAGTGTCCCCTAGTGTCTGTGTCCCCATGTCTCCCAGTGTCCGCATGTCACTAGGGGACACTGTGGGACATGGGGACACTGAGACTATGTATCACAGTGTCCCTATGTATCACAGTGTCTCAGTGCCCCATGTTGCCCAGTGTCCCCTAGTGTCTGGGTCATATAGAGACATGGGGACACTGAGACACTTGGTGACACTGGGAGACATGGGGACACTGAGAAACTAGTTACACTGGGAGACATGGGGACACTGAGACAGTAGGGACACTGGCTGGGAGACATAGGGACATTGTGTCCCTAGTGTCCCCATGTCTCCCATTGTCCCCAAGTGTCTGTGTTCCCATGTCTCAGTGTCCCCATTTGTGTCTGTGTCCCCATTTGTGTCTGTTTCCTCGTGCCTCCAAGTGTCCCCAAGTGTATGATCATCCCCAGAGGTCTCCCAGTGTCCCCATGTCTTACAGCGTCCCCTAGTGTCTCAGTGTCCCTATGTCTCCCTGCAGCCTTTACGTTATCCCTCACCTCCCTGAGCTGTAGGCTGTCTCTGCAGGCTGGGAGCTGCTGTCTGGACTCTCGGTGCTGTGTAGCTGCTCCTCACAGATCAGTCAGTAGAGAGATGTAGGTATATGCTGTAACTTCCTATCCCTGCCTCACTCCACACACAGTGACCCCTACTGGCCGGTCGCAGTGCAGGTACGCTGTGTTCAGTAATGAGGTCGCAGTGCAGTCACACTATGCAGTAATGGGTGCAGTGTTGGCAGTAATGGGGTAGTAGCTTAGGTACACTTTGTGCAGTAATGACCAAGGGTCACTCTATGATCTATTATCTCTGATTCCTTCTTTATTAGGTTCAGTGAGGAGTTAAAATGGCTGCTTTATAACCAGCATGTGCCGTCTCTGATCCAGGAAGGACCCCAGTAAGTTAATCCACACATCATACACTGACAATCTGTGTACAACACACTGTGCTCTACGTATAACACACATTCAAATATTACAAGTTTTTAGAATGAAAACTGTACTTCATTATCTGTTACTTTCCCACTGTTCCCATGTGAAATGACCAAGTTATGGCCTTGTATCTTTGCCAAGTTAAGGTAGGTCCTAACATGACCTAATTGAAAATCTAATGTATACATTTCTGAACTTATTAGGACACGGAGGAGAGAGTTTGGAGACCGAGATACTGCTCCATTTTATCACGACTGAGAGGTTGACTTGTTCAGGAGGGGATGTTATTCTATTTACTGATATTGCAAGCATATACCTTGATCTTATAAACTCTGCTATAAATTATTGTAATGGATTATTAAGGTTTTATATGTCTATATTTTTATTTTTATTTAATAAAAAATGTTTTTATATTTAATATTTCTTTATTCAATTTTATCATATAAAATACATACAATAAGACATAATATTCCTTAATAAATAGACTCTAAACCGGCCTTTATATATTCATCATCCAAAGATAGGTTGAAATAAATGTTTCTAGCATTTCAGGACCGTGACATAAAATAACATCCATAGATAGTCGGATCATTAATCTGTACGGAGCAAAACACAAACAGATGGAGCTATTCCAGTTTGTATCTTGTGCAGTAATACTATTGGCCTATAGCTAATGCTTCCATTACAAGACAAACCTGTATTGCTTCCAAGACTATCCCTATTGTATTCTCAATTATTTCTATATTTTAAATAGAGGATCTCTTACTAACTATATAATATTATGGCTATCTGTATGGTTAGCCCTGCTAAATTATAGAAACATGGCAGAACCATTCGGCCCATCTAGTCTGCCCAATTTTCTAAATACTTTCATTAGTCCCTGGCCTTATCTTATAGTTAGGATAGCCTTATGCCTATCCCACGCATCCTTAAACTCATTCACTGTGTTAAAAGACCACTATAGGTACCCAGACCAATTCAGCTCAATGAAGTGGTCTGGGTGCCATGTCCATCTAGGGTTAACTCTGCAGCTGTAAACAAAGCAGTTTCAGAGAAACTGCTATGTTTACATTAGGGTTAATCCAGCCTCTAGTGGCTGTCTCATTGATCGCCGCTAGAGGCGCTTCTCACTGTGAAAATCACAGTGAGAAGACGTTGGATGTCTATAGGAAAGCATTGAGAAATGCTTTCCTATGGACTGATTGAATGCGCAGAGATCTCCAGCGCAGAGGGAGCCCGGAGCTGGAGAAAGGTAAGAGTTTAACCCCTTCTGCCCTGAGGGTGGGGTAGCCTAAAGACCCTATAGTGCCAGGAAAATGAGTTTGGTTTCCTGGCACTATAGTGGTCCTTTAACCTCTACCACTTCAGCTGGAAGGCTATTCCATGCAAATTATTTGCTTTAAAGGGACACTATAGTCACCCAGACCCACTTCAGCTCAATGAAGTGGTCTGGGTGCCAGGTCTCTCAGAGAAACTGCTATGTTTACATTTGGGGTTAAGACGGCCTCTAGTGGCTGTCTTCTGGACAGCCACTAGAGGCACATCTGCGACGTTGGAGGCATATTATGCCTCCATCACGCAGAGCGTCCATAGGAAAGCTTTGAGAAATGCTTTCCTGTGGACACTTTGAATGCACTTGCGGCACTGCCGCGCATGCGCATTCAGCTCCGCTGACGTCGGCGGGGGGAGGAGAGGTCACCAGCGCCGAGGGAGCCCGGTGCTGGAATAAGGTAAGTGGGGAGGGGTAGCCACGGGAGGGGGCACCCTCAGGGCACTATAGTGTCAGGAAAACCACTTTGTTTTCCTGACACTATAGTGATCCTTTAAGGCATTATAGGACTAAAGTTACAGTGTATTGCACAAGGCACATACCACTGCTCTGTGTAAAATGGAAACACAAATCGTGTTCTTTGTTTATAACATGCAATCTCTGTGTATTACACACATAGAAACTGTGTTCTGTATAAGATGGATGAGCTTTTTGTCCAGTTCTTTCTTTATACAGATATATAATACAGATATAAAGATACATTTTCTCTGTGTATAGTACACCTTATAATACAGAATCATGCAATGACCTTTGAACAATCCATTCATATTGCGCGTTATGTGTCATACATTGCTCTGTCTCTGATAATATAGCAGACTCTTCATAATACACAGATGCAGACAATACTGTCTACATAACACACACTGCTGTCTGTACTAACAATGCTTCTTCATATTCACAGCACGTGTGTATTGGGTATATTTGATGTATGTGTATTGAGTATATTTAATGTGTGTATATTGGGTATATTTGTTGTGTGTGCGCTCTCCCGGCACTGTGTATAATAGGTATATTTCTTGTGTATACTCTCTCCCGGCACAGTGTATATTAGGTATATTTGTTGTGTGTGCTCTCTCTTGGCACTGTGTGTATTCTTGGTACATTACTTCCCTAAGCCTGTTTCATTTCAGGTGTGGATTGGTGGCTCTGTGCATGGCCGGGATGTTACTGGACATCAATAATGACATATCGCTCGGCAGAATCGTTGATGTTGCCGTCAGCCGAGGTTATACAGCTCAGGGGGAGATGTTCTCCGGTCAGTCCATGCTCCATGTCATACATAGCAGTGTGGTTTCCTCCACCAAATGTGCAATCTATTCCCATTCTTGTCATTCTAAAGGTTTAGATTAAACACGCAGACAGCATAAAACACAGGTTACGTTATAATACCGACATCACACAGGGCTGTATTCACTGTGAGCTACGAGGACGACGACAGAAAGTCTGATCTAAAATCCAGCAAAAATTGAAATAATGATCCCACTTTTTATCCCACACAAGCACAGCGCATGCGCAGAATTCTCCAAAACACATTGTCTGCCTGTAACCAAGGCTTATTGGAGTTGGTAACTAACCATACTACATGTCCGCTGAGTCAATCCAAATGATCTCTCCATGTCCCTGGCAGAGAGTGGGCTATTAATATGTCTTATGGGGGCAGTCATTAATAAACACTGACATTACTGTCCAGTGTTTACGAAGTATCTGTTCTAACATTGCTCTTTCTGTCTAGCCGCTAATATGCGCCATCTGGCCGAGGAGATGTTTGGCTGTCAGTGTGAACTTCTCACGGGGGGGATGGAAGGAGAGAACAGAATCCGAATCCTGCACCAGCTGACTGCTGGCCGGCCTGTCCTCATACCGTATCCTTCTTCATAGCAATGTGTACACTGAGCAGGGAAATACAGAGCACACAGCAATCTGTATACATAGCACGCAGCAATCTGTACACTGAGCAGGGAAATACAGAGCACACAACAATCTGTACACTGAGCAGGGAAATAGATAGCACACAGCAATCTGTACACTGAGCAGAGAAATACAGAGCACACACAGCAATCTGTACACTGAGCAGGGAAATACAGAGCACACAGCAATCTGTACACTGAGCAGGGAAATACAGAGCACACACAGCAATCTGTACACTGAGCAGATAAATACAGAGCACACACAGCAATCTGTACACTGAGCAGAGAAATACAGAGCACACAGCAATCTGTACACTGAGCAGGGAAATACAGAGCACACAGCAATCTGTACACTGAGCAGAGAAATACAGAGCACACACAGCAATCTGTACACTGAGCAGAGAAAGCAATGTGTACACTGAGCAGGGAAATACAGAGCACACACAGCAATCTGTACACTGAGCAGGGAAATACAGAGCACACAGCAATCTGTACACTGAGCAGGGAAATACAGAGCACACACAGCAATCTGTACACTGAGCAGGGAAATACAGAGCACACACAGCAATCTGTACACTGAGCAGGGAAATACAGAGCACACAGCAATCTGTACACTGAGCAGGGAAATACAGAGCAATCTGTACACTGAGCAGGGAAATACAGAGCAATCTGTACACTGAGCAGGGAAATACAAAGCACACAGCAATCTGTACACTGAGCAGAGAAATACAGAGCACACACAGCAATCTGTACACTGAGCAGGGAAATACAGAGCACACAGCAATCTGTACACTGAGCAGGGAAATACAGAGCACACAGCAATCTGTACACTGAGCAGGGAAATACAGAGCACACACAGCAATCTGTACACTGAGCAGAGAAATACAGAGCACACAGCAATCTGTACACTGAGCAGGGAAATACAGAGCACACAGCAATCTGTACACTGAGCAGGGAAATACAGAGCACACACAGCAATCTGTACACTGAGCAGGGAAATACAGAGCACACACAGCAATCTGTACACTGAGCAGGGAAATACAGAGCACACAGCAATCTGTACACTGAGCAGAGAAATACAGAGCACACACAGCAATCTGTACACTGAGCAGGGAAATACAGAGCACACACAGCAATCTGTACACTGAGCAGGGAGATACAGAGCACACAGCAATCTGTATACTCAGCTGTGAGCTCAAATTCACCCCAAAGTTATACGTCCATACAAAGTAACATGAATTTAGACCTGCGACATTGGCAGGCTTATGCACTAATAAGAGAACTCAAAGTGAATTTCAAATTTAAGGTCCGAGTAGCTGAAAAAAGCCAGCTATATTTCGAAATTGGCCACTTTGGCCGTACATTTTAAATTCACTTTCAATTCTCACTTCAGTGAATAACCCCGAATGCATTGGCCATTAGGGGGCATGGCAGCCTCCGTCGATGTATTTGCAATTTATCAGCCCGATACAGAACACATCACACAAATTTGTTTTGTTTTTTCAATATAGCACAGACCTAACTTGACATTTAGATTTGGAAGTAAAAGTACATGGATTTTAGTTAAATATTTTTTTTAAATGGAATCTATGGAGTAGAAATAACTACCTAATTTTTTTTAAAAAATTTTTTTAAGACATTCTTTATTGAAATGTTTTGACATTAGTTAGTTTGGCGTAAACACATCAAATAGAAGGTAAAACACAAATATGGGCAGAAAAACAAATTGTGCTTCACAATCCCAGGCATCGGAATCTGGGCCTACCGCCTATTTTTTTAATACATAGTAAAGCTAATACATTAAAAATCTGTCAATAAAACAGCTGCCTACATTTAACGTTCCCGTCCTGGTTAGGGGGTCTGTGTGCAGCTGGAAACAGACTCTTCCCTGGGTGAGAGAGAGTTGTACCCCACTGGCACCATGTAGCATAAGTGGAACTGTTGTGTAAACTAATTGCAGCCATACTGCCAATATTTTACATGTTTTGTTACAGCATGGTCTTCTGGGAGGTGAGAGCTCAGCCCAGTGTTCCAATGTTTCATGCAAAACGAGGACTAAATCAGTGTTGGGCAACCAAAACTACGCACTCCTTGTTCCTGATTGACAGCTCTGAGGGGCCTTCTTAGAGCTGCAGGACTTGGTACAAATAACTGCAGTTGGGAGCCGCTGTCAAAGCTGTGAGTTGGCTGGTTCTTTCGAACATCAGCTTTACAATGATTAAAGTTGTGCTGATGCTGTGAGTGACCTTTTAAGCAGTGTGTTTTGCTAACATCTGCATTTTTAATGTGAGAAACCTGCAATAAAAAAAAGGTTTTGCACGTATCTCCATAACTTTTGCATAAAAAAAAAAAAAAAGAATCTGCAGAAATGCATTGTGATTCTCTCTGAAATGAACTGATCATTCTCACATAGTGTCATTTGTAAAGTCTGTTAGAATGAGCATGTCTGACAATGAGACGCCCTCAATGTGATGCTGGGTGCAGTGGAATAAGAATCCGGCAGCCTGATGTGATTTGTAAAGGCAGTGACAATGACCAATAAATCTAGCTGTTACACTGACAGCGATGGTATATATCTCACATCAGATCGTGTTCCAAAGAAAAGGAACCAAAGTTGTTGGATGACCCTTTAAACGTAGAGCATGCAAATTCCAAAATTACAATTTAAATGAATCTGGCTAGAATTGTAAAATATTGGAATTAAGGAAGTAATTCTCTAAAAGACAATACCATCACATAACCAATGCCAATATACTTGGAAAATTCCTTTATTAGGTGCTAGGATAAATGTCAGATGGTATGTCCACTAAATATCTAAAAAAGGTTATATACACCACCTCATTCGAAGATTTCAAAATCAATTGGAATTGTACCTCAGTAAAACCTGTGGAGATTGCTATTTAGAAACAAAGAAACTGTTTCAACAAATGTATTGAGGTACCATCCCCTTCTAACTAGGTAGCTGTTAGGAGTGAGCTGTAGAGTGAAAAAGGATTCTAAGCAGGGCTGTAATATTAGTATTAGTATCAGATCATGCATTCAGCAGGTATCAAACCGTGCACAGGCACCCAAAATTCACTCGCTTCACAGATTAACTCAGGATCCTCGTTTCCTACAATGTGTCAATCGTTACTGATAGCTAGCTAGATTTTATGAGCTAGGTACCTATCCAGAATAATATCTCGCCAGCGGGTAAAGCTCTGGAAAGACCCTAACTGGCTAGTTTAATCTGCCAGGGAAATGTTCATTACTAAATAACTGCCAGCCACTCCAACCTAACCGCTACCTGAACCTTAGCATAATTCTAAATCAGATAAAAGGAGCCGAAATGCTCCATAGTGGTATAACCCAAAATGAAAAAATATGTCACATTACTTCAGTATTGCAACAGCTCTGAATCACTGGAAGGCATCCATGCTCTCTGTGAGTCATCCATCTCGTTTGCACAATACATCATCACATTCTATACAGATATAGTGCAGCATGGCAAAAATATCTTAATATCATTAAAAAAAATAAATGCATACCCAATGTTTGCACAATCCATGTGTTTTGCAATGTGAACTAAATTGGGCCATGTGTTCATGTTATGGGTAGGGATCTGTGGACTTTAGACAGTGATGCTCGACCCTTAACTATTTCTGCAGATATGATGAAGACTTTAACCACGAACCGTGTCGGAGAGATGGCCACCGGGCTCATTGGGCAGTCGTGTCAGGTAGTAATGTGCAGTCCTTTCAGTAAAACTGTGTACAGCAATTGGACTTGTATGTCAGCCAATTGTTTGTTGTACTGCATACTTTGCTTTTACAAAGGTATTATTGTGCTTAAAACACTGAAGCTTTATTCACTAAACTGAGACTTGTGTGAGAACAGACACTGGAATTTTAAATGCAAAAAAGGCAGAATTGAAGAACTGGTATTAGTCATGATTTCAGATTTTGCTTATAACCCAAGTGAATTTTAAAATCCTTCAAAACTAAATTGCAAACTTTAGCCAAAACAGCTGAGAAAAAAAAAAAACACAAAAAAACCCAGCTACTCAGTCAGTCACTGCTCGGCTGTTTAGACGAGATTTAGCAATTTCCTACAATTCAGCGTTAATCCTAATCCCAGTGTGTGTTCATATCTAATGACGAAGCAACTTTGTCCTTCAAGGTGTCTTGTTTGGAATAAAGAACGGGTCCTTCCGGCCTGACCACGACTTCCCTGGATTGTATTACCCAACACCTGACTCTTGTGTCTTGGAATGTGAAGATATTCAGGAGACCTACCTCGTAGCCAAACAAGGAAAGAGCCTCCGATACCAGCTGTGGTCTTACAAGTCAGTTAGTCAGAGTAATGGACAGCTCCTACATCTCGACCCTAAGAGAGCCAGTGATGGCACCGTTTATGTGCTGCCCAAAGGTGGCGTAGCCGCAGGGCTCTGCGGACAGGTTGTGCTTCTTAAACAGCACTGAAGTAGAATCTGTGAATGCTCCTCTCCGAATACCTCAATGTCTTCCTCACTGGACAACAGCAGATCTCCAATACTTTTCCTGGACAACTTTCTATTTGAGATCTTATTTTCTTATGAAAGCAAAAAATGGCAAGAGCGTGAGCTTTACAAAACCGAACACTGCAGAATTTATTGACAATTATATTATTTATTTACAATAATAGTGTGCATTTCTCATTTCTAACTCCCGTAGAATAAATATATATAAAATAGAACACACAGAATACTGACAAAATGACAAGCAATGCCAAAGGTTTATGTCGTGTGTGTATGTTTAAAAAAATAAGAGTGAGCAGTCGGTTTTGTTCTTTGACATTTCTGTATATTTAATAAGCAAATACACTGGCTGATACTTTCACATCATGCTTTGTTTTAAAGGGACACTATAGTCACCAGAACAACTACAGCTTATTGAATTTGTTCTGGTGAGTAGAATCATTACCTTCAGGCTTTTTGCTGTAAACACTGTCTTTTCAGAGAAAATGCAGTGTTTACATTACAGCCTAGTGATAACTTCACTGGCCACTCCTCAGATGGCTGTTAGAGATCCTTCCTGGGTCATGGCTGCCTAAAATGCATCCAAACATTCCGTATCTCCTCCCTCTGCATGCAGACACTGAACTTTCCTCATAGAGATACATTGATTCAATTCATCTCTATGAGGAGATGCTGATTGGCCAGGGCTGTGTTTGCATCCTGCTGGCTCTGCCCCTTATCTGCCTCTTTGTCAGTCTCAGCCAATCCTATGGGGAAGCATTGTGATTGGATCAGGCTACCACTTCTGATGATGTCAGCACACTGCTTGTTTTTTTTTTGAGGCAAACAGCATGCAGATCTACAGCTTCTGGCTTGAATACAGTAAGATTTTGCTATATTTATGGAGGCATGAGGGGCCCAGGGGGGCTAGATGGTGGTTTTTACCCTATAGGGTAAGGAATACATGTTTGCGTTCCTGACCCTATAGTGATCCTTTAAACTCTGATTTTCACACGTTTCTTTAATGCTTTCTAGTAAAAATAAATATTTGCAGTGAGACTAAACACACAGAGTAATAATTAGGAATTTCTAAATTGTGTTCCAGATGGCCTGGTAAACATGGGACAAAACATTTACACTGAAAGTTCTCTCTGGATTCAATTAATATGAATTAGCCATGATGTGTACCATTTCCTGCGTCCGTACTCCTAGGGGAATGGTTCGCCATTGTACCATTTCCTGCGTCCATACCCTCCGGGGAAAATGGTGAGGTTGTGGTATTTCCTGCGTCCATGTGCCCATAGGAGGGGGTTTACCATTACCCACCATCTTTCCATTCAATATCAGCCAGTGTTCGTTTCCCACGAAAGGCTATTACTCGCATTTTACTCATTCTGTATAACAGTATTTTCTCAGATATTTTTTATTAGTAAAAGAAAAAGGTTTTTGGTTCTTGTAGTTCAACTGTTAGCGTGTCTGCGATCTCAGAGAGCAGCAGTTTTTAGTTTCCCTTTACTCAAGTGTTGTGGGTCATGTTCACAAGATCCCATCTAGGGATCTTTAACAAATTAACTAAAAACCAATTCCACTACATGACCTGCAGTATAGTCTTCATCCGACGTGCAACTTACCAGAAATGGCTATAATGAAATGAGTCGCCTTGTGGTTTCTCAGTCCAAAGCACAACCTCAACAGAAAAATTGAAATATTTTAATTTTTCAATAAAAAGATCGTAGTGAACCTCTCTGTGTGACATTTTTATATATAATCACTGGCTCCAATAACACAGGGTTTATTCAAAATAGCCAAGTCTAAAAAAAAAAAAAAATGTCCATAATTCACTTTATAGTGAAAATACCCATTTGTTAATATGGGGAACAAAAGGATAGTTTAAAAAAAAAAAAAAAAAAAGTGTTTTTTACCAATAAAATGACTACTGGCAATGCACGTATTATTTTTGCTTACAGGAAAACAGACTCCGTAGAACTGTCTGGCTAGTATTCATGGGACGTCTAGTTCAATAGTAGCCGTTTCACCATTATTTTATAAATGAAAAAAGCGTTTATACTTAAAAGGACCACTATAGTCACCCAGACCACGTCAGCTCAGTTAAGTGGTCTGGGTGCCAGGTCCCCCTGGTTTTAACCCTTCAGATGTAAACATAGCCGTTTCAGAGAAACGGCTATGTTTACATTGAGGGTTAATCCAGCCGCTAGAGGCGCATCCACAACGCTCAATGCGAAAATCTCATTGAGCACGCAGAACGTCCATAGGACATCATTGAGTAATGCCTTCCTATGGGTGGTTTGAATGTGCGTGCGGCTCTGGCCACGCATGCGCATTCGGTTCCACTCGGGAGCTGACGTTGGCAGGGGGAGGAGAGGTCACCAGTGCCAAGGGAGCCCGGCGCTGGATTAAGGTACGTGGCTGAAGGGGTTTTAACCCCTTCAGCCCAACTGGAGGAGGGTCCAGAAGGTGGGGGGGACCCAAGGACTATATAATGCCAGGAAAACGAGTTCGCTTTCCTGGCACTATAGTGGACCTTTAAACTTCAGAACGTTAAATAGGAAAGAAATAATACAGTTGTGTTTGCAGATTTTATTTGCTAGAAACATGTCATTTTCTACTCTGGGTTTCAAAGCAACAATAAGATAAATGTACAATGAGATGAAACATAACTATATTCAAGGCGGTTTAAGATTGGTCTTGGTGTGTACAGTGACAATGTCAGCTTCCAGCTTAAGAAGCGCAAAGCTTATTACTGCAATACCTCTATAAACACGCATTCTCTTTGGTTTAGTAAGGTAGGGAGTAAGAATAATTAAAAAAATATATATATAAACCTAAACGCCATAGTCAATAGTAGATAAATAAAAAGATTTCGCCTCCCCCATGTTATTAACATTATCTGCTTATAAAAAAAAAAAATATCTGTTAAAATAGAGCATAAATCAGTCTATTGCATCTAAAAGTTACAATATTAAAATAATATATACATTAAAAAAAAGAAAGGATCTCCACTTCTGTCCCCAAATAGCTTGAAAACGGTTTTGTATGTACAATAATTCCAGTGTTGAGTTTCTTGAGACTGTACAAGCATAAATACGTTTTATAAAAACAAGTTAAAAATACATTCGAATAAAAACGGACATGGTTTCCTAGACCGATCTCTGCGACATAGTGTGAAAATTCCACTCTTCATGTGATTTGCCTTTTAAAAGCTGCTCGACTACTCCCACTTGTGGCAACCTTCCAAAGATTCGTCCAAGCAACGCAACAGAACGTGGGATGGACGGAGAGTAACCGTGCCCCCGTTTTGATGGAATGTATGCTGGGAACTTGGGGGTTTGAGGTTGCTGGGTTCTCATTTGGTTAGACATTGTGGTTAGTCCTGCACCATACTGGTGAAAATATTAATAAGATTGTCTAGTCCCCACAGGTAGCCATCTTCCCTGTTACCCTCCACCCATGGAGAGCGGTGGTTTAGTGTCTGTTTGTAGGGGAGCCGCACGGTCTTCCCAAAATCGATCATCCACACTTTGGCCAACCCAGAGGAATCATGGACAAACAGGAGGGAGCTTCCAACCACCTGAGGAGACAGAAGCACTTCATGAATTGGAGTAGTTTCTGAAAACTGAATCTACTAAATGTCAACCTTTTATAAAAACCATCAACTGCTAGATATGTCTACAATCATTAAAGGGTTACTCCAATTGCTCGTTGTTCCTGGAGTAACCCGTTAAACTATTCCACATTCCCCACTAAGATACACGTTCATAAATCTCACCCGGCACCTCAAACTGTGTAAAACCTTTTTCGCTCTCTCTCACTACCCCTTATCACCATTTCTGTAAAAGATCTAAGCACAGCTAGAGAATCCCAGGAAAAGGTGTAAAATAAAATACCTCATGTGATTTGAAGAAATCAGATTTCTCAAGCTCTGTGCGTAGATCCTTCAATCTCACCAAGTAGTTTTTCTGTATAATAGAAGAATATTTCCATGAGTTGGGGGTAGAAATGACCACTCACATACAAACATGGGCTTGTTCTTTGCACACGCACTTTTCTGAAATACAGGGTTGACCGTGTAATTGTATCAACTCACCAAAATAAGTTTATTTTCATCTACAAAGTCCTCTAAAGCCCTGACAATCTCGTCTCTTTGTTTGGTCTTTTTGAAGTTGGTGTCGCACGTTCCATCGGCTCTCTAAGAGTTGAAAAGAGAATTGTTAGTAGATGTCAAAGGATCTTGTAACATTCCAGAAAATGCCTTTGTTTACATTTTATGAACAGTCAGATTTAGGAGTTATTCCACTTGCCTATTGTTGTCAACTTCCAAGGATTGATAGTTCAGTGCAAGAACTAACAACTGAGCTGACCAATACTTACTGGGACACTACAGTCACCAAAACAACTTTAGCTTACTGTAACAGTTTTTGTTTATAGAACATGGCCCTGCAGTCTCACTGCTCAATTATCTGTCATTTAGGAGTTAAATCATTTTTATTTCGGTTTATGCAGCTATAGCCACACCTCCCTGGCTGTGACTGACACAGTCTGCATGAAAACAAAATGGTTTCACTTTCAATCAGATGTAACTTACTTTAAAAGTTTTTATCTCCTGCTCTGTGTAAATGGGTTTTCTATTGATTCGGATTCACTATATAGAACACATGGATGGTTCAGATGAAGTCCTATAGTTTTGAAGAACTACAGTCCCTATAATAATTTGCCATCTCACAAGAGTTGTGTAATGTGTCATTCCCAGACCATGTCCCACTGCCTAAAATATTTTCACACGCACCTTAATGCCCTCAATTCTGAAGCCCAGAGTTGCAGTAGAGCTAAGAGTCTCTCTCCATTGCATGTATCGTGGCTTCAAGATGGCTCTCTGTATGTGCTCTTCTTCTGTGGGTGCATTGGGATCTACGGCTATCATTTTCTCGTACATATCTTTCCTCAGCTTGGGCTTCTCACGTGCCTTTACCAACTCCTCTTCTAGGTAGGTCCTGGATGGAAGAAGCAGAGCACGGAGTTGAAAGGGAGGAGGAGATATGGATTTAAGGAAGAAGACAATATGATGGAAGACAGTGGAAGAGGAATTGAAGTGACCGGCAATAGAACACAAACACTTTGAAAATACTAGATCTATATATTTGAATGTGTTTGTTTTCAAACAAAATCCCTGTTTATCCAAATGTTGGGCAAATTATTTGTATTTGTTTAAATTCCGCAATTTGAAAACACCATATGGTGTATCACAAAACCAGCAATGGACGAGCTATTTGAAGAAGGAATGAATGTAGAAGAAGCGGATTCTTTTTTGCTTTGCAGTTTATTAACAAGTCCATATTTGCATCATTTTAGTTCAAAAACCTCACACAGATGAAGTTTAGTTTGACAAACTATATTATTCTTTCACAGGTTAAATTACTCAGAATAGATTTTTATTAATTTCTGGCCTTTACTTTTTTTGGGGGGTGGGGGGATTATTTAAACACCCCAGAGGGTGCAACACTAAATTGAAAATTCCTTATTTAAACACCCCAGAAGGCAGCAGAATAGTTCTGGGCACAATACCAGCAGAGCAATGCATGGTCTCTTACCGGACTCCCATTTTGCAATCCATGATGGATGGAGAGTCGAACTCTGAGAGAAGATCTTCCATCTGGTTGTAGGTCTCTCCATCCTTCTCCACCACGCCATAATATCCTGGGACAAAGGGTCGCAGCGAGTCTCTGTTCAGCCATTCCAGACACTGCTGCTCAGACAGGCAGAACTTCTTTAGGATTTTCCCATATTCCCCGGCCTTGAAATTACCTGTGGGACAAAACAGGGGAATTAAACACTGCAGCTTCTTTCAGCTTCATACGGCCTTCCTAGACTTGGCTTCAACTAGGGAGCAACTCCTTCAGGATGAGGCAACCTTGATTTCTGTGGCAAATGTGGGCTATAAGCCCAACTGACCCAACCTCAAGGACTGTCCAACTTAAAGGCTCCTCTTGCCCACTACACTTGCTAGAAGAGCGCGGGCTGCATCCTGGCTATACACAGAGCCTCAGCAAAGAGAGATGTCATAATTAAAATTAAAGAGAATCACTTAATAGATAGCCTAACTGCTTTGGTTCATAACAGATTCCAGAATTTGAAAATACATGGCTTCCATGGACAGAATATGTCTCAGCTATTTAATGGAGGCTGACCCCTCGGTGTTAGCCACATCGCGGCAGCGGGTTTCCCCTTTCCCATTCCCCTCCTTTTCGTCTTATTGTAGGCTTTTCTTTTTAGAGGACTGTGCCTGCTAAGTCCTGCGCTCCCTTACCTGCATGCCCCGCCAGCTGTATCCACGGGTAATTCTTCTTAAAGGACACCACAAATGGTGACCAGTGGACAATGTTTTTTAACTTCTTCCACGACCTCTGAAAAAAAAAAGGAAAAACTGAAGTTGAGTTTTGGGTTATGTTTACTTCATAAAGGTTTATGCAGCTGTCAATAAACCGGAATGTTAGCTTTTGTTATTTTTAAAGTTAGAAGAGTTATAGCCTTTATATGGATACGCCATTTCTACGTAAATTGTTTTGAAAGGCCCGACCTTGTGCTATCTCCAGAACAAGCAGGAAAGAGGCTGAGATTATCGGCTAGTGACTGGCATTCACTGGAGGCAGGGCCACAATTCGCCAAACAAGCCTATTTATACCATGGGGCAAAAAAAGAAAAATCTACACGCCACGATCACCATGGAAAACCAAAAGATAAATCACAGGTTTGCTTATATATGTTCATGTCTATAAAGAGGCAACTGTACAGACCGGGGGCTAACCAAGTAAATCTATCTGTATCACGTTGTGGTCTATTGTGAAGTGACAAAAAAAACAGAATTTAGGGTTTATTTTATATATAAATGGGAAAGCCAAAAAAAGCTCAACCAGAATAGTGCCAAGTTCTGCACAATAATACTTATTAAAAAGAGACCGAAAATCGAAAATACATTTAGCCTGGAGCAACGAAGGTTTTGGGGACAATTTTTTCAAATGTACAAAACCTCAAGGGACTATAAGTACAAGAAGGTGACATTTTGTAAGAAAAAGCTAAACACAGAGGGACAAGATGTGAAGTCGATGAGAGCGGAATTTCAGGTGGAAATATTTTACGCAAATAGACATGTTGCACGGAGAAGCCGATCGGCTGAAATGATTATTATTTTATTATTTATATAGCGCCATCAGATTCCGCATTGCTGCGCTGTACAATGGAATGATAGACACCGCAGTATATTAGAAAGGCTTTATACATATTTGTCCTGATATCCAAAATAAAAAGGAATAAAGGCTGGATTTTAAACTGGGAATGGGAGGGCAGCATTGGCCATCCACAGCTCCATGCAATGGACACACCGCCCCAAATACACTAAAGTGAACAAAACACAAAAAGCGGAGAGCGACCTGCTGAAACAGACTTACAAAACCTCACAGCTTCATCCTTCCAAGAAGAGCACTCAAGACAAGACATGTTTATGACGTGCGTGTGTTGAGAGCTTCGTCAAAGCTGGCATTATTCCAGTAAATGTAAGACATAAAGGATGCAAAGTTTCCTTAAAGGAAGTTGAATTAAGATGAATCCTTGGGCATATTTAGCAAAAGGGGCAGGATAGGACTCTCCCTAAAAATACAAACAAAATGTATTCACCTCCTGGACCAGCTCCCTATGAACACAAACAACACGCTGCATGCGAACTGTCCCGAGGGCCGATTATAAAAACAGCTGAACCTGGGAAATGGAAAAGAATGGGCGTGCGTTCAGCCAACTCAGCCCCCTCCACCAAACACCATCTGATGTTCTCTGGGATCAAATGTTCAGGAAACAAAACTGAACTCTCACAGCCTCCACTGTCCAACGATCCATACTGCACCACAATATAAACCATTTACAGTGTCCACATAATCTGTATCGGAGTACATCACAGGGATACAATATATACATTGTTGTAGCCTGATAACTAACAGATGGTGAATTGTCCCTGTGTAGAGCCAGCAAGAATTTATATTGTGAAAAAATAACTAGGGAATTGCAAATTTTACACCAAACATTGAGAATTCACCAACTTTAATGCCTAAAGCTATTTCAGCCTAAAATTTGCGATTTCTTTGTCTTGCAAATAAACCGTTGGAGTAAATGTTGGATTTTTTTTTTTTTTTAAACATTATTATTATTGCCATTTATATAGCGCCAACAGATTCCGTAGCGCTTTACAATACTATGAAAGGGGGATTTAACTATAAATAGGACAATTACAAGAAAACTTACAGGGATGATAGGTTGAAGAGGACCCTGCTCAAACGAGCTTACAGTCTATAGGAGGTGGGGTATAAAACACGTTAGGACAGGAGGTAGCAATAAAACAAGGTGGGAGTGAAGCAGAGCTGGAGGAGAGAGTAGAGTGCTGCCTTTTAGGAGAGAGCAAGAGACAGGTATGTAAGTTAGAGGTTACTCTGGGAGACCATAAGCTTCCCTAAAGAGATGGGTTTTAAGGCACTTCTTAAATGATTGAAGACTAGGGGAGAGTCTGACGGCAATAGGCAGGCTATTCCATAGGAAGGGAGCTGCTTGCGAGAAGTCTAACAATTAATTAAAATATGAGGGTGTTTGCTGACCTCGCAGAGAATGAGGGAGACTCAGACTTAACACGTAGAAATAGTACATTATAGAGTGGGGTATTTTAAAGCTGCAATTGGCCAGTAATCTAAGACGTGTACAATGTATGAATACGGATGGAAAAAAAGTTGGTGTGAGCTCGGACACTGACCAGTCTGATGTTTTAGGAAGGAATAAAGAGGGAGGGACCAATTTTAGAGCATACGGTTTTCGCAATGCAAATAAAAGCTTGTACAGTGACGAAAAACTCAACGAAGCAGAGCTGTAAAACGGAAGGCACATACATGAGTTTTGCAAACACAACGTCACTTGTATCTCACGGACCTTCTGAAATCCCCCAAAACAATCTAAAGCCGTGCCAGTGATGCAAACACCTAGATAGATTTGGGTAAACAGCCATCCCAGCACAGCGATTACGAGATTGGGTAATGAGGTCAGAAAGTACAGGTCCTGCCTCAGAAATGTTAAATGAGCAAATCAGGCGATTTACAAGAATCCTACCTCACCGGGGGCCAAATCCATCACCACACATAATGTGCCGTCTGTGAGATGTGCATATCTGGTAAGTACGATACAGCCGAGAGCTGGACAGAGACAGCAGAAATCTGTCTCCTGAAAGCATGGGCTCTCCTGAATCTGAACGTTTGGTATAGGATCGGGCAAAGTCCTAACTCCACTAACATGCTTGCGTAAAATAGAGAGAGAGAGAGAGAGATACTCTGGCAGCTTCCGCTCCACTCACCCCTCCTTTCTGCAGGATTTAAGGTAAAGACTTCGAAGTGACCATATTGCTCATGTTTTTTATTCTTTAAAAGGCCAAAGGGGTAAAGAATGGTTTAAACAACATTCTGCCACTTTAAGGGTAAAAACCTGTCCCTTTTATAAAAACACTACACATGACCGCAGGGCATGCCGGCTCATCTAACCCATCATTCTAGTCCTGTTGGGTTCGCTTTACTTTAAGATGCCAACATTACAATACTGAATATCTCCTTTGGCTGACCACAGCAGTTTGCCAAACCTAACCACCCTGGACATACTCACTGAATAATAAACATGGGGGGGGGAGGACAGCCATGACTTGTATCAACTTATTGCAAATTCTTAGAAGCTCTAAAACACAATTCTCACTGACATTCAATAAATCTTATAGTAATGCGGAAAGTACAAGACTGGGAGTTACCGAAAACAACAGATTGTTTCCGTAAAAAAAAGATCTATTTTAAAAACACAATGGCGTTTTTATTCCCAACAAACTAAAGCTTTTAACACAATGCTGGGTCAGACCTTCATGCAAGAGCAGAATATTATTTAACAAACACCACGGAATATGGAATAACTGGATATAATGGAACTAGTCAGAGATTTATGTATAAAGAGGGAATCATGTATCACACAAAAGCAAGTGCTGCGATGTTATTCTAGAATTCCATTGGTATCATTTTTAGGGGTTTATTGAAAAAGTACCAACACATTCCTAACAATATACAGTTGCAATCCATTCACTGGCCCTACTGCAAGGTTAGACTCTGCAATCAAATGAGAAACATTATCCTCTAAACAGGGATTATAGAAGAACCGGCAGAGAAATGGCAATTTGTGGGACTAAATTAAATAAATCTAACGCCATGATATTGCAGATATCCACATTCCATTATTTAGTAAATAAAGTGCTACAGTGTTAAGCTAAAAACAAGGCTGCTAAAAATATAATGTATTAATAATAACAACAACAACATGTTACAATGCACCTTGCGGTTATTCATCACTTAATGTAACAAAATTAAAGCTCACAAGTCCAAGACAATAAAACAGTAGCTCCCATTACGCAGAGCCGGAGTCCTCAATACTTTGTAATGACACAGATAATGGAGAGCGAATAGACGGGAATAGACTCAGCTTTGCTTATTGAAATGTATCCAATGTCTGACGATCTCAGGTCAGTGAGAAGCTGTCATGTTGCGTTTATATATTTGTCGGAGTGTGACCATTGTCAAACAGTAAATGTTTACACTATGAAAGTGTAAACAGAGAGACAAACATTGCGCCGGCTGTGGTGTTATAGATTTGTTCTTTAGGATAAATGTTTACAGAGAGCTTGAACTAACAAGGTCTGACCACAGAGACATCGGTCAAAGATGACAATCGACCAGGTAGCCCTAACGGGTCTCCATTTATTGTAACAGCAACATTAAAAAAAGTGCCATCAAACAGGAACACTACAATGATAGGAGTACAAACCTGTATTTAAAATACTATAGTGACCCTATTTAGTTCAGAGCCCCCCTGTTCACCATTAAATGAAGGAAAAGGTTGTAGTTACCTTTTTGCCTCGTCATTGAGGAGTCATGTCCTCCTCCAGGGGTGGTATAACCCAATGTGATGCACATGGAGTCTCTCTCATAGGAAAGCAGTGAATTCAAGTGGTCTGTATGACTTTATTGTCATTTAGCAACCATTAAGAGGGGAAAGAATTGTGAAGAGAATAGTTATGGCACACAATTCCTAACTGATATCAAAACAAAGTAAACTGTGTGAATTAACCTCAGATATTCCTCGTAGGAAAAAATGGAAATATGGATTTGGGTCAACAATAAGGACTGTCCATTCTAAACAGAGTCACTTGGTAGCTATGTATTCAATAAAATGTTTTTATTTTAGTTTTTTTACGTTCATTTTTCTCCAAAGGTCATTGGCCGTTTTCCCCTTGAATCTCCATTCTTGAGAAAAATAATTTACCCACTGAGAATTTTATACAGAGTTTTCTCAAGGAGACGGAAGTAGAGAATCTTACAATTCAGCCCTAAAGCTTGTTTCCTTATAAATAGAGTTTAAAGTGAAGCACATGTGCTATTAATAACAAAATGACAGCTCAGAGTAACAATGTCACTAAACGAATCTTTCATACGCTATATATAACCCTTTGTTAAAACGTTTAATTAGTGGCTCACCATACTTCCTAAAGAAACCATCTACTAGCTGAAGGCTGTCTCTCTATAGATAAAGAACACATTGTTTGGCTCTAAAGGGAAACATATCTCAAACATAAATTGCTTTCCATGTATTTACATACGCAGCACTCAAGGTTAGTCTCTAATATTGGCTTTAAATAGCAGAGGGTTAATGGATATAATTACAGTCTTAAAGTGACACTCGAGGCACCATATTCACTACATCATACCATCATGGCCAGGAGTCCCTGTTCGCCAGCAATCTGACAGACCATTTACAAACATTCTGACACTTAACTTGTTGTGTCAAGAGCCCATGCTCCTTCCAGTCTGAGTTGGTGTATTAAAAAACCCATACCAGGGTAAAACAGTAGTCCTTGGCTGTGGCTGTGGTGTGTAGAAGGCCCAATTACGGATAAGCTAGTGGTTATGGGGCTCAGTGTTACTATAAAGTAAACATGTACCTGACCTTAAAATCTCAAAAGGTCCAAGTTTTTTTTATAAAATAACTAATAACTAATTAGATATTGGATTAAGGAAGCCCACCAAACACAGTATGGCGATTTTATCATTAGCCACATTTCCTAAAATCATAGAACCGTGCATCGTCCATATATGTTAACAAGCATTCAAGGAGCCATACCACAAATGTACTAATGACAATGACATGTTTAAGGGTCTGTCCGTCCCAGGATCACAGAGTACTAATAACAGTGACATTTTTCAAAGAACACTACAGTCACCAAAACAACTTTAGATTAATGAAGCGGTTTGTGTGTATAGATCAGGTTTACTGCTCACTTCTTTGCCATTTAGGAGTTAAATCACTCTGTTTATACAGCCCTAGACACACCTCCCTGCATGTGACTTACACAGCCTTCCTAAACACTTCCTTCAAAGAGAGATCTAATATTTAAACTCCCTTTATTGGAAATTGTGTTTAATTTAGAATTGATTACCTCATGCTTTGTTAATAGCTTACTAGACCCTGCAGAAGCCTCCTGTGTAATTAAAGTTCTATTTACAGAACAGGAGATAAAAACTGTTAAAGTAAGTTAACATCTGATTGAAAGTAAAACCATTTCTTTCCATGCAGGCTGTGTCACAGCCAGGGGAAGGGTGGCTAGGGCTACATGAACAGAAACAAAGTGATTTCACCTAAATGGCAAAGAATTGAGTAGTTAAACATCAGAGGCATGATCTATACCAGGAGTAGAAAACCGTTGGCACTCAAGATGTTATAGACTACATCTCCCATAATTCCCTTACAGACATAATGCTGGCAAAGCATCAAGGGAGATGTTGCCAACCCCTGATCTATACACTAATACTACTTCATTAAGCTAGAGGTTTTTTGTGTTCCTTCAAGGGTCAGTCCCTTACAGGGTCACAGTGTACTACTGACAGGGCAGTGACAGGTTTAGGGTTCAGTCGATCATAAGGTTAAAGTAATTAAATGGGCAAGTCTGTCATGGGATTACTATTTTATCTCCACAGCATGAAATGTATCTGCAGAAATCAAGAAATACGATGTAAACTGTGCTCGGTTTATTCAGAAGAATCACAGTTACTTAACCTACTTCTACTGGCAAACAATGTGTCCCAGGTCAGCCAATCACGGGCCGCTCATGCAGAGCGCCCCTCCTTGTGAGCGCAGTCATGATGTCTATTTTTCCACTGTGGTTTCATTGCGGTTTGGAGGTGAATGGTGTGAGCTGTACAGAGAATAGAGAACAACATCTCTGTGCAAACACATGCAGGGTCAGCTGGCAAACAAGTTACCAATGAATTAAACATGCAAACAAATAGACATTTCACCTGCGTGTAATCCAAATACTGTATTTTATAGAGAGTCAGAGACTGGCAGGAACACCTAGACCACATATCACTCTATTTAATGTATATACACAGGGCCAGACACTGCTAGAATCTTATTAATGCTTTACAGGACTAAAATACAAAACGTATCTGCTATGCTGGTTTCCCCTAATTAATCAGCTCGTCGCAGCGATGCCTACCTAAAGATGGCATCTCCCTGCCAGGAGAAATTTAGGGCAGAAATGACTTTTATAGAACATAGAGGGTACTTGGAGTTTATTGTTAAATTACAGATAATTAATGCGTTGCCTGGAGTCACACAGTGACAGCATAATTAATCCGGCTCTTTGTGCGCTATTTATAACCCATTATTAATTTGTTTAATTGGTGCAGATCTAGATTTAGATTAGCATGTAGAGGGAGTTAAAACAGAATAATAAAAAAAGACATGAACATATAATTGTTTTATTGGTGTTAACTAATCAGACAGTGAGGAGAATTGTATTTTCGCAGTTTTCTATTCACTAACACTGAGCAAAAACATTTCTAAAAAGGAACTATTAATACGGGCGAGAATCTGGCATTAATCGTAAAAAAATCTTGTTTTCAAAGTCTATTTCTTGCAAGTGTTCATTTCTGGGTGAATATATCTTTATGGGTATTTTTTCGCCGTACCACTAAGTAGATTCGGTATACTGATTTTTGAGGATTAAAGAGCAAGGAAGACAAATCCATCATGATTGTGACTGTACGTCTTTGACACGCAGTTGATTTTTTCATTATTATGTTCACTTGCACCTGGTTAGTACTGAATCACAGATCCCGGCTCACAGGCAGACCCCAGAGGGTTGTGGTTGCAGAATTAGAGATCCAGCGAGACTGGAGCACCAACTGACAGACCCCGTGAGACTTGTGGTTACAGAAGTGCCATGACCCATGTAACCCCATAACCACATTTTATTCAAACATTCAGGAAAGACGTTACCCCAGTCATCTTATTGCCGGTGGGTTTTCACTGGCACCTTGGTGACTCTGCAGGCACAATGAGAGCTGTGCCAAGCCATTGAACGCCAATTCTGAGAGTCAACATTTAAGTAGAAAAAGTGAAAATCACCCCCCATATATCTGAGGTTTCCGCCTATTGTTTCCGTGGAACAACAGTGGGTGTATGCTCTGCTAGTGCACACGCTTCAAACACGTGCATCTGTGTGCGTGTTACACAGAATATCTCTGATCTATGCTTTACACTTGATGGATCAAAAAAGAAATATAAAGGACATTTTTGCAGCACTAAAAAAAGGGAAATCAGGTGTGTGAAAAAAATGGGATAAAACCACAATACCTGAACTGCACAATTATAATGTGCTACACACTCCAGTGTTATAACAACAATCCAACATCAAATCTAATCCAGATGTGTTTTAGTGATATCTACCTGTCCATAGCGTACACCTGTTAACAAGCAGAGTGTACACACAGTGCAACACACACTGCTGGCCATAAAACCAACTTTAAGGAGACAGGGCTCGTAAAACGGTTACTGCTGTTGGCAAGCATTGCCTGGATAACACAATGAAAGTACTGCTCCAAAAATACAGAATAAAGATCATACACACACGCACATGTATAAATAAAACCCTTAGGCTCCAGCAGTCTGTAACATTTGCCCAGGCTGCACGTGTGGAGTACTAATGTGTGCAACAAATGGCAGAATTTAAAACAAATTCTCTGGCCAAAGGGGAAAAACATCCTAAAATGGGGTTAAGGCACATTCTGCACTGCAATCCCATACAGAGCTCGCTGAGGATAATGGGACTAAATAGACAATTAGAAGTCTAATGGATGCCAGGACAGCTGTCATGGGAATTAGCAAACATCGTATTGTATCTCTGGGGCCAGTGAACCCTTAGAGATCCAGCCTTGGGCAGCAGAGCTGTAAGTTTTCTTAGAGTGCAGCCATTATGATTCCTATATCACAAGGCATTTTATTTTGAAATTATTATTTAGTGGATGTGATCTGCCCCCAATATGTAGTACACACCATAGGTGGCAAGATATATCAAAAACGGGGTGCAAGGGTGCACAGTGTTCCTGTTTTGCTGGAATGGGCAAGCAGTTTTCTCATTTAAATTGTGAATATGTGGGTTTTTTTCCCCTACAAATATTAGTTCTACCTTGTTAACATAATCAGTGGTAAAATCATAAAAAAAAGGAACAAAAAATGTAAATGAGAAATAACGTGGAAGAAAGACAGTTTATTTTGCCGCAATACAGAATAAGTCGGCCAAAAGTCACCAATGTATAAAGTGTGGAGTAGCTATTTTTTACATTTGACGCACATGTGAACACAAATCTAATCATTTTAATAAAGCACGGTCTTTGTAAGCCTGTTACCCTGTTGTTGAATAAATAGCACAATCTATTGTCCTGCAGGTGGATCAGTTACAGCTTATAAATTTGCAGAACAGAATCGAGCGGATTCCATAATAGACAAATTGTCATCATGGGGGCAAACATTCCAAGTTAAAATAGTTTTCAAATGCCGCATACCTGTCTTGTCACATTAATTGCTGTAATCCAAACGTACGACATGACTGGAAGCTCATTTGCATTCTATAACAAGGGAATCGTGGGAGATTTACATGGGAATTTCAGGCCATTTTTCCAGTTTGATTATTTTGTACTTAGGTTTGCAATTCCCAAGGTTAGTAAATAAACCCCAACAGAATAATGCAGTTTAGTTGGTTTCAGTAACCGGTCATGTGATCCGGAATGTTTTAGCTCTAACGGTCTCAGTATAATGTGTCTGTAGAGATCAGTAAGAAACCTTAGAAGTAATGAATCTCTCCAGTAATGGCGGCGATTAGAGCCAGTGGATTGTTTGCCGGAAAGATTTGAATATATTTTCTTTGCACAAGAGATAATGAGAGTGGAATATGAGCAATCAGAGAAAATAGAAAATGTATGCAAATATATCTGTACTGATTCAAAAGCAATTTTATAATATTCAGGGAGATAATACATAGTAAAACATAGAAGGCAATAACAATGTCCTTTTAAAGCGTCTGTGCACACAATTAAAGGGATACCCCAGCTATAATTAATATATGTGCACTCATGGTCTTCTATGGTAATAGTCTTTATTTCTTCATATTTGAAGCTTTCACACTTTCTGTGTACAAAGTTAAGTGAACATTTCAGTCTACAATCAGGAATTACCTCAAATATATATATATATAATTATATAAAACAAGAAACTTCACCATGTGTATACCGTGTGTGCCATGTCCTGTATGTCTACTTATTTTATTCTACATCTTACCTCCCAAGATTATTTTTAAAGGGACACACCACTGCCCAAATAAATAAAGATAATAGTTTTCTATAGATATAACAACATGAATTAATATTAATCTGTTATCTGCAGCCTTTGCAAACCCTCCCCTTCTAACCCCGCCCACATTTTGTGTCTATCCAATCACAGACTTCCCAATGCAGTTCAATGAGAAGTCTTTGCAAGGCAGATGCTCTGGGCAGTTGCTGCCTCTTGAGTTTATCTCAACTGAGCTAAACAAACCAGGAAGTAACAGGATCGGCTGTATGATTGACAGCCAGGGGGTGAAACCAGGTTCATTTATAAAAGTGTACATTTATGTTGAAATCTGCACTTTTTGTAAAAGGATTTTATTTTATTTTATTTTTAAAAGAAGGACACTTCAAAAATAAGGCAATTTCAAGAAACTAAAGTGCTCCAGGTGTCGGAGTATCCCTTTAAAGTAGCTGTGTACATAACATGAGTATAATATATTGTAAAACTTGTTCTTGGACCAATGGAACTACACAATGAAAATTGTTCAGGATATGTATGGTTTAATGTAAACAAAACAAATGTGTAGAACATTAAATCTGCTGACCAGAAATCAGCCTTTCCACGAAACCAACAAAACAAATCTCACCTCTCCATAGAAAGCAGACTGCCATAGCAAACTATAAAAACACAAAACATACACAAAGGAGAACCGGAGTCTGGTAGAGTTAAAGCCACGTACTCAAATAACAATTCTCAGAATTCTGGCACTGTATGAAATACATACTATTTATAAGTTCAGTTAAAAAGGATCCAAAAATTCTGCAGCGCTTAACAATTTAGAAAAAAGAGACGGTACAAAAAACAAAGACCACTGCAAAAGGGTAAGAGTACCTACCACACTGCCACGATCAGCGCTTTCATACCACTTTTATATTGCCGGCAGCCGATTCTCCTGTGCAGAGTGCAGTAGTCTTTCCAATGATAAGGAGAGCTGCAGAACATGCCAGACCATTATAATTAAAATGAACTGATCTGGGAACCCAAGCGCTATAAATCCTCGTGCCATTCTACCCTGGGCACAGACCGGTGATTTCCCGAAAGCTCAACTTGCCACAAAATTTGTCTTCCTTGCAAAAATTATAAACACAGCAATATCTTTCAAGGATGCACGAATAATTAGCATTGTACTTCCAGCAGGTAGGTACATATATTGGACAGTAACACTCTGCAGGTAGGTACACATCCTGAGCAGTAAAAGGCTGCCTGTAGGTATGGAGACAGAGCTGCAAAATTCTGCAGGTAAGTACATTACCAGAGCAGAAACACACTGCAGGTAAGTACAGACCCAGAGCAGAAACACACTGCCAAGGCTGCAAGTACAGACCCAGAGCAGTAACACACTGCAGGCAAGTACAGACCCAGAGCGGTAACACACTGCAGGTAAGTACAGACCCAGAGCGGTAACACACTGCAGGTAAGTACAGACCCAGAGCGGTAACACACTGCAGGTAAGTACAGACCCAGAGCGGTAACACACTGCAGGTAAGTACAGACCCAGAGCAGTATCAGGCTGCACGTAGGTAATCATAATATAAGCCAACATACCCCCTTATACAAAATATAATGCTATTAGGTACATGATGATTCAAATGAAATAATTAAAGAACTAATTATAAACCATATTCCGGTGAGTAAAACCACCTCCCTGAGACCAGTCACCCACCTGCTATGCTCAAACCCTTTCCAACATACCGGTGAAGTTACACCTTTCACCTGGGGTTCCATGGCAGACACCTGAGCAGTAGCATTGTCTGCGAAGAAAGGCCGAGAGATCGAAGTGAGGAAGACGGAGCACAGCGACCGGGGAGGGGTTGGTGCTGACGTTGAAAAGTTGCTCAGTAACTGCAACCCCAGGAGAATTTTTCCATGACACAGGAGTAAAATAGAGTGTTTGTATTGAGGGTTAACCCCTGACCTCCCGCAGGCAGACTGGTTCACATACATGACCTCGCTTGGCCTTTTGTGGTGGATAGCAAAGAAGGTAAGAGGTGAAACCACATACATGCATCAACACACCCACAGGGCAATAATGATAAACGAGGTTCCCAGGAGCACCGGTCCATGCCAGACAGACACATAATGCAGGATTTATTGAATATTACTAGGGCCATTATATGCTAACGGTGACATAAAGCAGACACTGCAGGAGCAGAGCTTACTGTCAGCCGAGGACAGAGTTACAGCCTGGGATCCCAGGACAAGCAAAGCAGCAGCAGGTTTAAAGGCACACCAAGCTTCATTTTATGGAAGGATGGATTTAGATTCAATATTACACCTCGTACAGCTCCACAACCTACCAAATCCCAGCATCATATTCCACGCAGTCTGTAGGACAAGTTGGTTAAAAAGATATATAATAAAGAAAATAAACGTATTAACATTTGTACTTCATATCCATTTTCACAGCGTCCTGATGAAACTCTCACTTTGCACATGTATGTGATGTGAAAAATAAATAAAAATCATAAATACAAAGTTAAAAAATTATTAAATTTTAGGAAAAAAGAAAAAGTCAAATGTAATTTTTTTTTTTTATCTACTGACTTGTGCAAAAATTCAAGATGGGGCACTTTAAATAATCACTCTCTCCCGGGGACACAGTATACGAATAACAGTGACATGTTAAGGGGTCAGTCCCTCCCAGGGTCACAGTGTTCTAATGACAGTGACATGTTAAGGGGTCAGTCCTTCCCAGGGTCACAGTGTTCTAATGACAGTGACATGTTTAATGGTCAGTCCCTTCTAGGGTCACAGTGTACTAATGACAGTGACATGTTTAATGGTCAGTCCCTCCCAGGGTCACAGTGTTCTAATGACAGTGACATGTTAAGGGGTCAGTCCTTCCCAGGGTCACAGTGTTCTAATGACAGTGACATGTTTAATGGTCAGTCCCTTCTAGGGTCACAGTGTACTAATGACAGTGACATGTTTAATGGTCAGTCCCTTCTAGGGTCACAGTGTACCAGTGACATGTTTAATGGTCAGTCCCTTCTAGGGTCACAGTGTACTAATGACAGTGACATGTTTAATGGTCAGTCCCTCCCAGGGTCACAGTGTTCTAATGACAGTGACATGTTAAGGGGTCAGTCCTTCCCAGGGTCACAGTGTTCTAATGACAGTGACATGTTTAATGGTCAGTCCCTTCTAGGGTCACAGTGTACTAATGACAGTGACATGTTTAATGGTCAGTCCCTTCTAGGGTCACAGTGTACCAGTGACATGTTTAATTGTCAGTCCCTTCTAGGGTCACAGTGTACCAATGACAGTGACATGTTTAATGGTCAGTCCCTTCTAGGGTCACAGTGTACCAGTGACACTCTAAGCACCCCAACAGCCTGGGTCTCTTCCAGCCTCCGCAGCCCAAACATCCATAATTTCCATGGAGAGCACCAGTTAGTTGAGAGCTCTCTGCCAGTTAACACAGTTCTGTATCGGACCTCCTTAGCTACATAAACAGACCTTGCTTCTCCTGCAGAAAAAGACAGAAAGCAGCAAGGCACCAAGAGGACCCAGGAAAGTTGCAAAGTCGAAGTAAAACCAGAGGTGGAATTCATGACTAGTAGTTTACTGGTACAGTTCAAGAGGCAGCTCAATCACCGAATCCAGTGTGTCAAAGTTGTCAAACCGTTCTACAATGCTTAGTCTGGGAACACACCTTAACTACTACAGTGAGCTGTAGTGGTTATGGTGATTGGATTGTCCCTTTAAGTGTCACAGAGTAATAGAAGCATGTCAAACTTGCGGCCCACCTGCCTGGGGCCACATTGTGCGGTGGCTGTGACCAGCCACAAGCCAGGAAAGATCTTTCCTGTCTGCCCTTCCACGGCCGATCGCGTGCTCCGATGGCATATCCGGCAGTGGCGCTACAGTGTGCAGAGTGTCTGTCTGCAGAGCAGGCCAGCCACTCCCCCTTCCCTCCTGCTCGCAGTGCCAGCCACTCCCCCTTGCCTCCTGCTCGCAGTGCCAGCCACTCCCCCTTGCCTCCTGCTCGCAGTGCCAGCCACTCCCCCTTCCCTCCTGCTCGCAGTGCCAGCCACTCCCCCTTCCCTCCTGCTCGCAGTGCCAGCCACTCCCCGTCCCTCCTGATCGCAGTGCAGAGGAGCGTGTGGCCTGCTTGAGCAGAGAAGAGCAGGGCTGGAACTGGAGGACGGGTGGCTCATGTTAAGGTAGGGGACGAGCGGCAGTTAATTCAATCTGGGGTGGGAGGAGGCAGTGTATTCTTTTGGGGAAGGCAGGGTGGCAGTGTATTAAATTGGAGAGGGAAGGGAGCAGTGTATTAAGTTGGGGGAGGGGGACAGTGTATTCAATTAGAGTGGAGTGAGGGGGGCAGTGTATTAGATTAAGGGGCAGTGTATTAGAGTTGAGAGAGGGGGAATGCATGGGCTTTGGGGGCAGTGTATTAGATTGGGTCTGCATGGAAGCGCTGAATGCTCCTCGTGGAAAAGCTCACTGACAGCGCACCGTTTTGCCACACATGTACAATAGCCTCCCAATGCTTTCCTATGGGAAAGCATTGGATTGGCTGAGATCATTAAGTTCGATGATCTCAGCCAAAGTGAAGAACACACTAATAGGACAAGATAATGTCATTGGTTTTTTGCAGCTGTGCAACGGCATACATCTACCATTTCAGTCCCATCACCAAACTTTTCAAAATATGTCAAGCTAGTTGGACTGAAACATTGGTTATATAAAAATGCCGTCTCCTTATGATTAATTTGCTCTTTTGTTTACTTTGAAGCCCTACGAGCATGAGGACGTCCAGTGTCAGTTAGGCGACTGTTTATACTGTACTTTTTTAAATAAACCTATGTTTCTATGAAAACTGACGTTTTTGTGATTTTGCGGCCCACATAAACGTAAACCTTGTTTATTTGGCCCGTGTTAGCCTTTGAACTTGACATGCTTGCTGTAATATGTCAGTGGTTACTTTGGCTCACTATCCATTGCTCGGATGGGACTGCACTGCATTTAGTAATAGCTTTTTGCAGAAGGCCATCCCAGGGTTAAGAGAAGCCGCTGCCAATGTTTTGCCAAGCAGCTGTTGAATAGAGCCGGCCTCCCGAGGAGGGGCTGCGTCACACACCTTCCTGTTTGTTCAGCGAGCCAGGAATGTCTGACACAGGACAGAGGAATTCCTGTTTACTTCATTCAATACACCACAGATGGCAATAGCCCCACAGCAGGGCTGCTCTCCAGCACCCCTAGTGGCGGTGTGCAAGTAAAATCAATCAGGTTGGGTTCAAAATTACTGTGTCCCCATTTATGTAGCAGGTAGCAAAGTATTTATTTCTCGTTTCTGCACCACACAGGAAGAATGGCTAATACACACCCACAGATAATAAACACAGTTACTGCAACATTTACAGCCATATTTATAAAGAAACACTACATGCACAACTTCATCCGAATTAAAGGGACACTAGTGTCGCCAGAACCACTACAGCTTAATTTAGTGGTTCTGGTGTCTAGGGCTTGTCCTTCCAGGCTGAGCAATGAAAACGCTTTGGTGCCTAGGAACCCCTCTAGGTGCAGTCACTCAGGCGACCACTAGAGGTGCATCATATCTCAGTGCTGCAAAGTGTGCAGCACCTACGTTTAGCATTTCCACACACTGCATGGAGGCGCAATGCATCTCTACGAGGAGATACTGATTGGCGCAGCGCAGAGTCTTGCTGCGTATGCGCAATAGCCTCCCAATGCTTTCATATGGGAAAGCACTGACTTGGCTAAGGTCGTCAAGATTAATGATCTCAGCCACAGCGGTAGGGCCAGCTGCGGCGATGGAGTAAAGATAAGTAAAATACCTTTTAACTCCATTCTGAGTGGGGCTGGGAAAACCTAAATAACTAGTCTAACATGTTAGGGATACTATGGTGTTCCGTTAAGTTGTTATGGTGCAAGAAGGTCCTGCTTGCCAGCTTACCTTCTGGGGTAAACTGTTCATTGATTGGTTGTGAAAAGGATACACATCTTTTTCACTCTATTTTGTGAATGGGGGGCTTATGATAACCACTCAAATCATCATTAATCCCCCCCATTGCAAAACCATCTTTTCGGGCTGCACGTCACTGCACCATTGTTTATGGTGTAAAATTCTCCACATACTTTCCGAGTTCCCTCTAAGTCCGGCCCGGAATCTGATAATGTGGCCAGTATTAATTTAAATGGGCTGTTACCAAGCTTTATAAAATGACTGTATCCCAGGTTAGTTGGTGAATTAGGTGAATTCTGACTTTACTGGTACTGAATCCAACCAGAGCGATCTGCTTTCCGCGCACATGACCAGGTGCCCTTATTATGATCCATGTAGATAAAATGCTGTGCTTGTACTGACTCGTCTGGAGAGGATTATTTTTACAAATTACCAGCCGTCGCTCACAAGCACAATATGGGCCTGATATTTGGTAAATATTTCCCTCACTTGCTACATTTAACTTGCCTTGGGTGGAGTAACCTATGGCACGTTTATCAGGTAGCTGCGGAATTTCTTACCAAGGACCAGTTACGCAGGCCGTAAACCGCCTAAACTGGGAATATCCCACACAGTGGAAAACCATAGCAGGAAATACATAAAACGCAGAATGCTCAACTTGAGATACATAGGGTATTGGGGGGGGGGGGAGAAATCACAGTCCACATTCTAATGCTTCCTTACTAGCCCAAGCAGCACAGAGGGGATCCGCTGTTTAGCATTAAAACATTAAATGCTGGAAGGACAGCACCACTGGACTCCAGACACTACAACCACTTCAAGCAGCGTGCTTTCCTTTTAATCTGCAGTCAGAGAGTGTAGGTGGGTGGGAATATGATGGGCGATCTGCGTCCTTGGAAGTAACCAATACACAGTCTCGATGTAGGAGATGGATAAAGCACAAATAGAATGACAGCAGGAAGCATGTACCCATTTCAAGTGGGCAGGAAACGACGAGGAAAAATAAAAAAAAGAAATAAAAACACAACACAAAGACTGACTCACGTGTAGGCAGCGGCTGGGGATTCGAGGAGGGATTGGGTTTGTGTGTCTATAATTAATACGAGCCTGCAACATCGCAGGCGTGCCCGCGCTCTATAACAATAGATCACGTTTTAAGAAAGTCTTCTGTTTACTGGCATTTGTTCCCAGCTGGGGAAGCCGTCTCTGGGCCAGGAGGGGAAAATGGATGTGATTTTAGGACACAGCCCGGGGGAGCGATGGAACTGGCCTGGCATTTCCCACCCCCGGATTAGCAAATAGATTTGTGTATGGGTTTCAAACCAGCTATAACAGGGGAGAACAGTCTGTCTGATGTTACACCCAAACCACATGAAAAAAATAATAATAAAAATACAAGAGTAAAACTATAATCTCATTGAATTCACTGCCTATCCATCTTCTGCAGTGAGCTTTAACCAGACCAGGAATTGTCTGAGATTGCTCAGCCAATCCCGGTGCTCTGGGTATAATCAGCAATAGGCGGTCCTTAATAAGAATTAAAGAGAATTTGTGTATGGGTTTCAAACCAGCTATAACAGGGGAGAACAGTCTGTCTGATGTTACACCCAAACCACATGAAAAAAATAATAATAAAAATACAAGAGTAAAACTATAATCTCATTGAATTCACTGCCTATCCATCTTCTGCAGTGAGCTTTAACCAGACCAGGAATTGTCTGAGATTGCTCAGCCAATCCCGGTGCTCTGGGTATAATCAGCAATAGGCGGTCCTTAATAAGAATTAAAGAGAATTTGTGTATGGGTTTCAAACCAGCTATAACAGGGGAGAACAGTCTGTCTGATGTTACACCCAAACCACATGAAAAAAATAATAATAAAAATACAAGAGTAAAACTATAATCTCATTGAATTCACTGCCTATCCATCTTCTGCAGTGAGCTTTAACCAGACCAGGAATTGTCTGAGATTGCTCAGCCAATCCCGGTGCTCTGGGTATAATCAGCAATAGGCGGTCCTTAATAAGAATTAAAGAGAATTGTGAAAAGGGGGGATTCTAAAACCAAACATCGCTCAGGTCCTGTGTGTGTCAGAAAGCCTAAAGTTGTGCAGGTTTTCCTGTTTATGTGCAGACTGTCTCACAGCCTGTGACATTTCCTGGAGTCTCTCTTCTTATTGAATAACCAGTGCAGGACTCAGACAAGGGATAAATTACCACTAGACCGTCTCTTTTTTTGAGGTGACTGGATGGCAGAGGTTAGTTTCATGCTGTAAAGAAGCCAAGAGCCCCAAACTGCGTGCGTACAAGCGACTACTCCAGGGCACGAGTGGGCATAATTCTCCAATGCAGCTCCTCTAACCCCTTAAGGACATATGACATGTGTGACAAGTCATGATTCCCTTTTATTCCAGAAGTTTGGTCCTTAAGGGGTTATACTGGTTAATTAGGCTAATTGCCAGTTCAGTGAATATTCTGTGACTCGGATGGCGGCTGGTTTAGGCTGCTTATAGCGTTTGTTTGAAGTCACGTTTTGTAGGCCCGTCCGTTTCTTAGGATGAAGACCTGTTGAAATGAGTGGATGTATAGAAGGTGTTAGGAGATTAGCGTATCTATAGAAGGTGTCAGGAGGGAGAGGCTTTGTCAGCCATATAAATGTTCTAAATGTGTCTTCACTTCCTCCCACTGTGTTTTTCTCAAACAGGTTTTCCAGGTAATTCTCAAAATAGCAACAAAAGGCTATTTGTGCTTGTCGAGAGCCTGGAGATTACCTGTTACCTCTCAGGATGACTTGCCACTGACTCACTAAACGTGCTCCACGAGCTCCGTGCAAACACAAATCACTGACACCTTATTCACTATACTGGGAACTGGCAGTGGAACATTGAGAGCCGGACCAAAAAACACAGATGTGTGACGAGTAGATCACAGAGCTCCACAGCAATAAAACTCACAGTAATGTGATGTGTGATGAATAGATCACCGAGCTCCACAGCAATAAAACTCAGTAACGTGTGACGAGTAGATCACAGCGCTCCAAAGCAATAAAACTCACAGAGCTCTAATGTGTGACGAGTAGATCACAGAGCTCCAAAGCAATAAAACTCACAGTAATGTAATGTGTGACGAGTTGATCACAGTGCTCCAAAGCAATAAAACTCACAGTAATGTAATGTGTGACGAGTAGATCACAGAGCTCCAAAGCAATAAAACTCACAGTAATGTAATGTGTGACGAGTTGATCACAGTGCTCCAAAGCAATAAAACTCACAGTAATGTAATGTGTGACGAGTAGATCACAGAGCTCCAAAGCAATAAAACTCAGAGTAATGTAATGTGTGACGAGTAGATCACAGAGCTCTAATGTGTGACGAGTAGATCACAGCACTCCACAGCAATAAAACTCACAGTAATGTAATGTGTGACGACTAGATCACAGAGCTCTAATGTGTGACGAGTAGATCACAGAGCTCTAATGTGTGACGACTAGATCACAGAGCTCTAATGTGTGACGACTAGATCACAGAGCTCTAATGTGTGACGAGTAGATCACAGAGCTCTAATGTGTGACGACTAGTTCACAGAGCTCTGTGTGACGAGTAGATCACAGAGCTCTAATGTGTGACGAGTAGCTCACAGAGCTCTAATGTGTGACGAGTAGATCACAGCACTCCACAGCAATAAAACTCACAGTAATGTAATGTGTGACGACTAGATCACAGAGCTCTAATGTGTGACGACTAGATCACAGAGCTCCACAGCAATAAAACTCACAGTAATGTAATGTGTGACGACTAGATCACAGAGCTCTAATGTGTGACGAGTAGATCACAGAGCTCTAATGTGTGACGAGTAGTTCACAGAGCTCTAATGTGTGACGAGTAGCTCACAGAGCTCTAATGTGTGACGAGTAGCTCACAGAGCTCTGTGTGACGAGTAGCTCACAGAGCTCTGTGTGACGAGTAGCTCACAGCACTCCACAGCAATAAAACTCACAGTAATATGTGTGACGACTAGATCACAGAGCTCTAATGTGTGACGAGTAGATCACAGAGCTCTAATGTGTGACGAGTAGATCACAGAGCTCTAATGTGTGACGAGTAGATCACAGAGCTCTAATGTGTGACGAGTAGATCACAGCACTCCACAGCAATAAAACTCACAGTAATGTAATGTGTGACGAGTAGATCACAGAGCTCCACAGCAATAAAACTCACAGTAATGTGATGTGTGACGACTAGATCACAGAGCTCTAATATGTGACGAGTAGCTCACAGAGCTCTGTGTGACGAGTAGCTCACAGAACTCCACAGCAATAAAACTCACAGTAATATAATGTGTGACAAGTAGATCACAGAGCTCCACAGCTATTATAACAGGAGGCATTAGAAGTCCCTGCCAAAACGCTGTGTGATAAAGGTTATCAATATGTATAACCATTCCAAACACACGGCTCCACAGAGGTTATTAAAAGAAAGAATTCGTAACAAGTTTGGGCTGGACTATCGCTGGGATATGTGCAGAGAGGAGTTGGTTTTACATGCTTTACTTAGGAGACACTGCGTCGCTGTCAGACAGGATTAATTAGTTATAGAGGGTGCGGGATTTAGAGCACATAGTATATTGCTAAAGGGGAATTACTAAAATTCTACAGAGTGATTAACGAAAAGCCTTTTGTGAAATGTATAGATTGGACATTTGCTTGAGGGTCCTTAATACATTTGTAATTTGTCTTATGTCACATTTCAATCCTATTTGCATAAAACAAGTATATTTTCCCTTATGGTTGATCGAATCGCATCAGACGCAGAAAGGTGTTACTGGTGGGGGATACAAACAGTGGCCTGGTAACTTCCATTACACACACACTGCATGGTACCAGTGCACACGCAGCACACACACACACTGCATGGTACCAGTGCACACGCAGCACACACACACTGCATGGTACCAGTGCACACGCAGCACACACACACACTGCATGGTACCAGTGCACACGCAGCACACTGCATGGTACCAGTGCACACGCAGCACACTGCATGGTACCAGTGCACACGCAGCACACTGCATGGTACCAGTGCACACGCAGCACACACACACACACTGCATGGTACCAGTGCACACGCAGCACACACACACACACTGCATGGTACCAGTGCACACGCAGCACACACACACTGCATGGTACCAATGCACACGCACACTGCATGGTACCAGTGCACACGCACACTGCATGGTACCAGTGCACACGCACACTGCATGGTACCAGTGCACACGCAGCACACACACACTGCATGGTACCAGTGCACACGCAGCACACACACACACTGCATGGTACCAGTGCACACGCAGCACACACACACTGCATGGTACCAGTGCACATGCAGCACACACACGCACACTGCATGGTACCAGTGCACATGCAGCACACACTGCACCAATGCACATTTTGGCCTTAAACTTGAAATTCTGTTTGATTTCCATTTTCCAACAATGCTTACCTTTAGTGAATTATCTGAAAATCGCTGGGAAGCTAAATCCTGGGGGTAAGACTAAGCATTTTAGGAGGTCAACATGCATTTGTAGGACAGTCACAGCAAATATTTGTGAACTACATTTCCCATGATGCTTAGTAAGCCTAAGAGCCTGCCACTTCCAACAATGGCTAGGATACTGGGAGAGTTGATGGGAAAGTCACCAAGAATTTCACCTTGTGCTCCCAAAACTGGGCGAAGAGCAATGACGGTTCGGTAAGTCTAGATTAAACACATTAAAGTGTGAGGTAACAGCTTTGGTAAAACAGGATGGCACACTGCGAATGCCTAGATCAAGCCAGGTTGACTTCTTCAGATTATATGTGCCGGTGTCGATTCAGTATTGCGTTATGTGCCATCCATTAAATCCATGGCACCCTGACTATTGTGGACTAAAATGTTCTGTGGCCGGCCCAGGACTACTTAGCCCGTGAGCTGGAAAGAAAGAGTTCCCTCCCTGGACTCAGAGTGATGCCAAGGCCTTGTAGAATCTAGGTGGCAGACAGGACTGTTGGGTCCTAAACATCTTGGAACCCCAAATTAATATATTGTCAAGTATGCCGGTTGATGGGATATCATGAATGCAATCACAATAGGTCAGGAGAACACAAAGTTTAAAAGTGCATTCAATTCATTATTTGGTTTAAAAAAACAATACTTGGCATACTTGCAGACAGGGTTAAATGAGTGAGCACTTTATTTCCACGGACAGTAAATCCGAGATCCGTGTCCACTGCAAAGCATGTACAGGAGCGACGCAAGCAGTGTCTGGCGCAGGTCTCAGGCAGGGAATAAAGATAGACAAATTATAAATGCTGAGTGTAATCAACAGCGTCTCTACGCATTCCAAGTGACAGAGTAACACCCACACAAGTATTGTCACATAGTATCAGGACAACAATACAAATCTTGTACGGAACCGATAGCCAAACAAAGAGGCCATTTACCAACTCCGTTCTGTAAGCCTGGGATACAGATTCAGTTCTATCGTCTAACAATCATTGTTCAATCTCTGAAGTTTTCACATAACAGTGTGATAAAACATGCTGGTGAACGTTGCAGTCACAGTTTGGGGCCTTTTTTCTGGATCCTGAGGAATGTCCCAAACTGGGACTGAAACGTTGACCAGCATGTTTTATCACACTTTTCCAAGATGGAATAATAAGAGATTTACTGCATTATAAAGGCCGTGAGTGCTAATACCTCTTTTTACCAATATATGTATTATTTCTAACTAAAACCAACACACAGAAGGGGCAGTAGCCACATAACACTTGCAGGATTTGTTGTCAGAAATGAAAAGGTAAATGCTAACTTTTTGCCCAGAATATCTGGACGGAAAACACTCACAGCGGGATCATTAAAGTGAGAATTCAAAGTGAAATTCGATTTCAAGGTAAAACAGCCGAAATAAAAACATTATCGAAGTTCACTTTGGACTTTTTGTATTTGAAATCGTCTTTAAAATTGTCACTCAGGAATGGAGCATTTTAGTTACGAAGAAAGGTTAAAAAATTTAAATCTTTTAAGTTTGGAAAAACGGCGCCTGAGAGGGGATATGATAACTTTATACAAATATATTCGGGGCCAGTACAAACCTTTTATCTGGAAATCTATTCATAAACAGAGCTATACATAGGACACGAGGTCACACATTTAGGCTGGAAGAAAGGAGATTTCATCTAAGGCAAAGAAAATGGTTTTTTTACAGTAAGAGCAATAAGGATATGGAATTCTCTGCCTGAAGAGGTGGTTTCGTCAGAGTCACTACAGATGTTTAAACTGCAATTGGATAAATACTTACAAAAACATAACATACAATGTTATAATTTCTAATTAGTGGGGTAATAGCTGCTTGATCCAAGGAGACATCTGACTGCTATTTTGGGGTTAAGAAGGAATTTTTCCTTAATTTGTTGCAAAATTGGAAGCGCTTCAGACTGGGGTTTTTGCCTTCTTTTGGATCAACTACAAAACAAATGTGAGGAAGGCTGAACTTGATGGACGCAAGTCTCTTTTCAGCTATGTAACTTGAATTAAAGGACCACTCTAGGCACCCAGACCACTTCAGCTTAATGAAGTGGTCTGGGTGCCAGGTCCAGCTAGGGTTAACCCATTTTTTCATAAACATAGCAGTTTCAGAGAAACTATGTTTATGAATGGGTTAAGCCTTCCCCCAAAGCCTCTAGCGGCTGTTTCATTGACAGCCGCTAGAGGCGCTTGCGTGCTTCTCACTGTGATTTTCACAGTGAGAGCACGCCAGCGTCCATAGGAAAGCATTATGAATGTTTTCCTATGTGACCGGCTGAATGCGCGCGCAGCTCTTGCCACGCGTGCGCATTCAGCCGACGGGGAGGAGAGAAGGAGGATCAGAGGAGGAGAGCTCCCCGCCCAGTGCTGGAAAAAGGTACGTTTTAACCCCTTTCCCCCTTCCAGAGCCGGGCGGGAGTGGGACCCTGAGGGTGGGGGCACCCTCAGGGCACTATAGTGGTCCTTTAATAACGCAGAGGCAGAATTTGTCCAAAGATCTTTCCATTCCTGACTCTCTGCACTCTAGTGAATAACCGATAAAACATTTACCCCAACTAATTCATAGTGGCAGGCAGCTCGGTGATAAAAACAACGCAGGCTGGAGTCTCGCCACCCAAAACGGAAGTTTATATTATCATCACTTATTGATGGCACTGCAAATACGTGTGTATTTCCCATGACACAAAGTCAACACTACATTTCCCATCATGCACAGCCAAGCTGTATGGGCATCAAAGGAGAGGTAGTTGACAAGCATGCAAGCCACTGTTCCCAATTCTCGCCAAAATACTTTTTCCTGCAACAGTCATTAACCAGTGAGAGCTCCATGAATGTCTATGTGACCCATCCGACATTATCAGGTTTACAGCTAAAGTAGGGTTACGGTTGGACTGTCAGTCATTGCCCCCACGTGCAGTCACACCAGCGTGACATTGCCACAAATCTCGAGCCTTTAAAGTGTGTCTCTGTTCACTACCCACATCTGTCAGCACACACCAGGCGTGTGACCAGCTTCCTCACATTGGGGACGTGCGTCATGTCAAAACATTTATGATGTAAAGGGACACACGGCACGGTGAGAGTTTGTGCACCGGCTATTAACGCACGGAACGAATCGGGATGAGCTGCATGTATACACGTACGCTGTACATGCAGACAGCTCGCTGGGATAGACTAGAGGATGTCAGATTTCTGTATACAAAGCAGGTGTGTGTTTGCCAAAGGCAAACTGAGAACAAAGCTTTTGAAGTGCAAACACACAGTATTATTTTATATAATGGGCTTTTATCTCAGGAAGGCAAATACAGACAGCATTCTCGTTAGCTATCCTGCTGTCACTGACGGGGATCAGACTGCACGGGTGTGAGACCTGCTACGGAAAATAAACCCGTCTGAAATAAGGTCTGAACCGAAGGGTTTAGAGCTCAATCGGAGCCATAAACACTTAAAAATTTGCACAGCCGGTAAAATAGCACCGCATCACCACCAGCGGCATTATATATTAATAAAATGTATCTGGCAGTGACCCAGCATGGAGAGAACACACAGAATATACTAAAAGAAGGTCGTTTTCATAAAACGCCCTCCCAGTTTAGAATGGCGGCTGTTGAATAGACGATCGTGATGCTTAACCAACAAGTCACTGTAACTCTAGACAACAACAAGGTAAACCTGAATACTGGCTTCCACGGGGATCATCCACTAAACTGGGAATTATACAAAATAACAAACGTTAAAACAAAATCTGATATTCAGGCCTGGAACCCCACTTTAATAAATAAATCTCGTACTTCTGCAAAGAATTATTCTTCCCTATGAACTACCATTATGCACAGCCAGTTCTATCTGAATTGCAATTTTAACGGCACAGCATGTGCACCTGAGAGTTCTTTTTTATTTAGAATATTTAACATCTGCTACACCAGAGCAGGTAGAACCATAGACATCTTTTATTGGGCATTACTATCAAAAATGTTTTGAAACACCAAGATTATTAGCAGTGCTACTCAGCCAGTATTTTGTGCAGAGCTTTACAATGGAGCAGATAAGAGGCAAACGACAAGTTAGATTGTAAGCTCCTTTGAGCAGGGCCTTCCCCGTCCCATTCTCTGATTGTAAAGCGCTGCGGAATACGTTGGCACTACGTTACAATAACAGAAGGCGCAGAGGGTCCTTTGCCCAAGAGAACGCACATTTTAGAGATGGTAGCTTGAAGAGACGGCGATCACAAGTATAACAATGAAAAAAATACATATTTATATATATACACACCTAAAGACATCTATTGTTAACTGTCATGTACAAGTTAGGTAAAATGTGGTGTATGTTCACTATCACTAAATGCCCCATAAGAATGCAGGTCACGGGCAGTCCTGAGCCTGTAAATGAAGATAACTTGTTAGACAATTTCATACTAACCGTTGCGGCATGGTCTTCGGGACTGCAGAATAGGACGTGTAATCCATTTGGTTCAATGTCACTGCCACCAAAATCGTCTTCAGACTCCTCGAAGGATGATGCAGAGGACAGGCCAGACGAGCTGGACAGCTTGCGTAGGAAGAGAGAGGGCACAGGGGACCCACCACAGCCACTGTCCGAGCAGGGAGACTCCGCATCTCCAGAAAGGGGTACATCTAGACTGCAGCTCGACTCCAGTAGCTGGGGAGATGAAGAGGACAGACGGTGGTTGGGGCTGGGATCCCGAGTAACAATAAGTCTTGGAATTGAGTAGCTGTGGGTATCGGAGGCCAGCTCTGCAGGCAACAGTCTAAACTCCAGAAGTGGTGGCCCCTTCCTGGGCAGCTCCCTTCTATGAGCCATCTCAGGGATAAGTTGAGAGTCTGGTGGGGTGACTGTTAGCCGCAAGCTGGTTATGCCCAGATTGCCACCTCCTAATGTCTCTTGCTGGCCGGTCCCTGACTGTGGTATCTCTGCCAAAGAAACATTTTCTAGACCTGAAGTCCTTTCCTGGCCACGTAGCATTAGGTCTTTTTCATTCCTCTCTGCATTTGTTGTTGTTTTCTCTCCAACTTCCCCACCTCCTGTGCCAACGCACTCCACTGAACCCAAACTTCCAGGAAACATCACGGTCTCTTTTTTCCAGGACATCCCCAACAGCTTGCTCCCATCACCCAGACTATTTACAGCGGTTGCCTCTTCCCTATAACTTTCAGCCACAGAGCTCTGCGGCTGACTTTCTGTCTTTTGTTCAATAAAGCTCAAGACAACCGTTTCATTCTCCACGTTTCTTTGTGTGTCTTTCAATGACTCCATGTGGCTCTTCCCATAGTCTTCGGACCATACCTTTCCTCTGTCGGTCATAGCACCCTGTGAACCACCACCTTTGGAAATATCCCTTCTGCACCCCACTCCCTGCCCATCCAGTCTCATCTCAGGTAATAGGGCAACTTGTGTGCTTGGCGCTGTATCACTGGGAAGTGTCACCCTTCGCTCTGAGCCTCCTACGATAGATACATTTGGATACAATCCAGGGAGTGTATTCTTAGAAGGTTTCAAAGATGTCTGTGTCTTTGAATCTGCTGGTGAACAAAGACTTGTGATTTGGATGTGTTTCTTGGTGGTCCCTTCTGTTGACCTCAGAGCAGCATCAATATAAAGGGGCACCGTTGGTATGTCCGGTGCTGTGTCTGGGAATAACAGCCATGTCCCAGTGTCAGACTGCAGCGTCTCTTCCAATCTGAATGTTACTTTTCTTTCCTCTGAAGCGATGCTTTCTACGCACGCTGCAGTGACTGATAGCGTCCTCTCAAGGGAGACGGACAGTGTACCCTGTACTGTACCTCTCTTAGTGCCTGGATCTATATCACTTTCTGTGCCAGTCTCTATACTCAGCACTGTACCCCTCTCTGTACCAGGGTGTATACCCTGTACCTTACCTACCTCTGAATCAGACACTGCACCCTGTACTGTACCCCTCTCTGTGCCAGACTCTATACTCTGTGCTGTGCCCTGGCTGGGAGTACTGGATGAGGCTGACACTGTACTCTGTGCTGTACCCTGGCTGTGAGTACTGGCTGAGGCTGGCACTGTACTCTGTGCTGTACCCCTCTCTGTGCCAGGCTCTATACTCTGTGCTGTACCCCTCTCTGTGCTAAGCTCTATACTCTGTGCTGTACCCCTCTCTGTGCCAGGCTCTATACTCTGTGCAGTACCCCTCTCTGTGCCAGGCTCTATACTCTGTGCTGTACCCCTCTCTGTGCCAGGCTCTATACTCTGTGCTGTACCCCTCTCTGTGCCAGGCTCTATACTCTGTGCTGTACCCCTCTCTGTGCCAGGCTCTATACTCTGTGCTGTACCCCTCTCTGTGCTAAGCTCTATACTCTGTGCTGTACCCCTCTCTGTGCTAAGCTCTATACTCTGTGCTGTACCCCTCTCTGTGCCAGGCTCTATACTCTGTGCTGTACCCTGGCTGGGAGTACTGGCTGAGGCTGGCTCTATACTCTGTGCTGTGCCCTGGCTGGGAGTACTGGCTGGCTCTATACTCTGTGCTGTGCCCCTCTCTGTGCCAGGCTGTATACTCTGTGCTGTGCCCTGGCTGGGAGTACTGGCTGGCTCTATACTCTGTGCTGTGCCCTGGCTGGGAGTACTGGCTGACACTATACTCTGTGCTGTACCCCTCTCTGTGCCAGGCTGTATACTCTGTGCTGTACCCTGGCTGGGAGTACTGGCTGACACTATACTCTGTGCTGTACCCTGGCTGGGAGTACTGGCTGACACTATACTCTGTGCTGTACCCTGGCTGGGAGTACTGGCTGGCACTATACTCTGTGCTGTGCCCTGGCTGGGAGTACTGGCTGGCTCTATACTCTGTGCTGTGCCCTGGCTGGGAGTACTGGCTGACACTATACTCTGTGCTGTACCCCTCTCTGTGCCAGGCTGTATACTCTGTGCTGTGCCCTGGCTGGGAGTACTGGCTGGCTCTATACTCTGTGCTGTGCCCTGGCTGGGAGTACTGGCTGGCTCTATACTCTGTGCTGTGCCCTGGCTGTGAGTATTGGCTGTGGCAGAGCTGCTGTTGTCATCACTCCGCTTTCTTCTCGCTCTGAGCAGCTTCTTGCGGTGTGCGGGTGTGTATAGACCTGGAGTTGCCTGAGCTGCGCGTTTCGATGAGATTTGTCCCATCCTGAGCACCGTGACGGTGACTCCCTAACCCAGGCGCCGACGTCACACCAAGAAATGACCAATCAAGATCGGCCAGGCGTGGCCAAACACAAAGCCCTGGGTGTCCCAGCAACACATTCAGTGGTGCGAATCACAGCGCAGCGAATCCCTGCGCAGGATAATTCACAAGCAATATCCTTCCGCGGCCAACTCCAGATCCAGAATATAGTCCCAACATAAACAAAACAAAAAGTGAAAAAAATCCAATCCTTCTCCTCACAGGGGAGCTGCAGTCCCAGGCAGCATGTCTCCAATAAACATTACATGTAAAATAATCCAATAAACATTATCTGTAAAATAATCCAATAAACATTATCTGTAAAATAATCCAATAAACATTATCTGTAAAATAATCCAATCCTGCTCACAGGGGAGCTGTAATCCCAGGCAGCTTTCCTCCAATAACCATTACAGGGATCATCTGTGGAGACATAAAACACAATGTCAGATATCACCCAATCCCTAAAATTTCACATAAATATAAAAACAGTTGTGGGATTCTGAAGATTATTAGACTGAAAACAATCTCTTCATATGACAAAAGCACGTTCATAACAAGCAATGTTTGTTATGGCAGCTCATATCATGCTGAGCCAGCCGCGCACACTACCCTGAAATGGGAGGTAAAGGTTCAGAGGTGGAGGGTGGCTGAGATTTTCTGGTTCTCCAGACAGGCTGGGTTTCTGTCCTTGAGGCTCCCTGTCAAATAAATAGATAAATGGCCGAATCTCTGGCTGGCTGAGTGTGATGAGAGTGCAGCAGTCCTCAACTCTGGCAGCTGGGCAATAAACCGCGGTATAGAAGTGTGATGTACCCACTATTAACAATCTCGTTGGATGAGCTCCCCTATTTCGTTAAAAAGTTTTACCAAACCCCAGGTGCTTTTCCCTGTTTCGGCACTTGCGAACTGCCGAACACTGATCACCCCCTGGCTCGTTTACTACAAAGAAACCACAACTCTATCTGGGTGGCCACCATTCGTAAAACCGAAAACATGTCCTTCGGGTCATGGCTGCCATTTTGTCTCCTGAACGCAGGCAGCGGTACTTGGTCATCGAGTGCGTGGAACTATACTTCAGACACTTTGCCTCGCGAACCCTGGGAAAATCATACCGTTTATACAAACAACAAAAAGTGTGTAGCGCATATACAAAGTTCACGCCATATCCTGAATATCAGAGTATAACAAGTGAATAGATGCAAATACAGAATACATACCCAAATATTGGAGCAATCAAAAGGAGTTGTGGACCTATACATAAAAACATAGCGTAATACTGTATTGTAATAGGAGTGGAAAATCAACTTCTGTATGGTCCAACTCACATTCTCAAGAGCCTGTTCACAAGAAAAACTGGCTCAGGTAATAGTGTTTAGGGGTATAAACTTGAATAAATTCCAGTAGGCGAAGCTTGATCCTCAAAAAAAGAGGCACAGGCTCAAAAAAAAGAGGTTCCCAGACAACACCATAAGGAACAATATAAGCAGAGAGAGCATAAAAAGATGATTATCAATGGACAGAGGTGAGAAGAAGACATAGGAACTACCATCAAACATCCAAGATATATACACACCACATTCCAAGTATTATCAACAAAGATCATACACTCATAGGAACAGATATGAACCACTCCGAGAGCAAGAAGAAAGGGTTGGTTTTTTTTTTGGTTTTTTTTTTTTTAGGAACCCCGAATTTACACAGGACATTTTTAAGACCCATTCGCTCTCCCCTAAAAAGGAGACGTTCCTCCGTGGGAGAGGATCTAGAGGAGGAAAGGGGAAAAAGGAAGGCCGAGAGACTTGTAGAGAAACATCAACAAAGAGATTGTAGTCAGATAGAACCGATATAAATCTTTAATCTCTCTAAAAAAAACTTTGAATGATAACCACACTAGAGTCCTTACAAAAGGGTTCAAATTTGCACCAAGTTGCAATATTAACAAGTTTGACACTTTTTTAGACCTCAATAGATTTATGACGAAAAGGGATAATGAACTTGCTCTGCAAGAGCTTAATGAATTCAATCATACTGCCCTAAAACCGTATCATCTCAAAACACCCAGTATGAAAGCTTTTGAAAAAGCTTGTATTACGGATTTGAAAAGAATTAAACCGCTTTCCAAATTTCAGCAAAATCTTACTTTGGGGGGAAAAAAGGCCCTTGAAGACCTAAGTAGGAATGATAGCATTGTAATAAAACCGGCAGATAAGGGGAGGGGGGTTGTTATTATGAATAAAGAATTTTATTTGGAATACATTTTCAATCAATTAAAGGATGACAAAACGTATGGGAAATTAACAACAAACCCAGAGCCTAATATTAAAAAAGAACTTATTACATTTTTAGATCGAGTTTTTATAATTGCAGGAGCTATAAGGCCTGTTATAATAGTAGAATTTTAACTAGAAAAACTGAGAAATTTTATTCTAATGTAACTAAAAAAGAATATGTTATTAAAGAGTTTATTACATATAATTCTAGTAACATTATTTATTTATTTATTAACATGTGTTTGTGGCCTGCAGTATGTTGGGCGGACAACAAGACCCCTTAAAGTTAGAATTGGTGAACATCTGAGAAATGCACAGAAGGGGGTTTTGAATCACCCGGTGTCTGCACATATTCATCAGATGCACAGTGATGAAACCAAAAGTTTGCACTTTGTGGGGATTCAGAAAGTTAAAAAACCTGGAGGGGGGGCGACCATTTAAGGATCCTCAACAAATCAGAGATGAAGTGGATCCTTGATTTGGAGACCCTCTCTCCACAGAGTTTGAACATTGATTTTGATATGTATAATTATATTTAATCCTTTTTTTTTTTTTTTACTTGGTTTTATCGATTTGTATAATTATATTATTATATTTATTTTTTCTTAAGAAATATTGGTGTTATGATTTTTTAATAAGATACTTTTGCAATAATATACTTTGTATCTATCATTGTTTTTTAAATATTTAAATATTTTTATGTGTGTTCTCTCTTTTATATTTAATTATGGACTTATGCCGAATTATGGCTAATATGGACTATTTCTGATATCCGGATCGTACATCTAATAATGGTGGAACGCATGCGGATGATCATTGGACGTCCTTGGAACGCATGCGACCCAGAAGTGCCGACCGGGGCACGAAACTGGAAACGATTACGTCGTGGTGGAACGCATGCGGACGAGTATTGGACGCTCTTGGAACGCATGCCACCCGGAAGTTCAGACAGTGGCACGAAATCGGAAGTGATTATACCGCAACGGCAGCGGTATGGGAAGCTCTAAAAACATAGAGATTGTTGATTGGTTGTTGGGCAAAGGGGGCAGGTCTTCAATACCCGTTTCCCGCGCCAATATGGGGGATTTAAATATTTGTGTGAAGCTTGATGTAACTACTGCACCTGAGGAAGACGTTTATTTGTCGATTTTATATATTTGTTAAATAAATTATACTTTTATTTCTAATCAGTATGCCTCTTTTTTTGAGGATCAAGCTTCACCTACTGGAATTTATTCTGACCGCACGTTATCAGGACAGGCTTAGACAGCGCTGGGTTTATATCTAATGTAGGGGATCTGACTGCACGTTATCAGGACAGGCTCAGACAGCGCTGGGTTTATATCTAATGTAGGGGATCTGACCGCACGTTATCAGGACAGGCTCAGACAGCGCTGGGTTTATATCTAATGTAGGGGATCTGACCGCACGTTATCAGGACAGGCTCAGACAGCGCTGGGTTTATATCTAATGTAGGGGATCTGACTGCACGTTATCAGGACAGGCTCAGACAGCGCTGGGTTTATATCTAATGTAGGGGATCTGACTGCATGTTATCAGGACAGGCTCAGACAGCGCTGGGTTTATATCTAATGTAGGGGATCTGACTGCACGTTATCAGGACAGGTCAAACAGTGCTGGGTTTATATCTAATGTAGGGGATCTGACTGCACGTTATCAGGACAGGCTCAGACAGTGCTGGGTTTTTATCTAATGTAGGGGGTCTGACTGCATGTTATCAGGACAGGCTCAGACAGCGCTGGGTTTATATCTAATGTAGGGGATCTGACCGCACGTTAACAGGACAGGCTCAGACAGCGCTGGGTTTATATCTAATGTAGGGGATCTGACTGCACATTATCAGGACAGGCTCAGTTCCCTTAGAATCTTAGACTCTTCATTCTATATCTTAATCTCCTTGTTATGAATGGCCGCGCTAAACTTGTCCTAGTGACATAGGTAAAGTAATTTAATGCAGCTGTAGGTACAGTGTTTGTCATGCACATTGCGAGTCTCCTTGTAACAGATCCTCAGTGAGTCACGTCCATTGTGCGACTGTTGGGAAAGGAATTTTATAGGAAGGATCAGACTGTCTCAGAGTGACACACAGTTTCAGTGTCAGCTCCACGTCCAGGCTGGTTGGCTGGCCGTCACGCTGAGCATTTAATAACCATGGGAAATATTCCACAGATCCTAAAAATAACCGAGCTTACACATTAACAAAAACACAGTATTAGCAAATCCTCAGCGGAGAGGTTAAGACGTCAACATTTAAAGGGGAAAATAGAATAAAACATTCATTGTTATTTAATTCCCATAAAAAAGTGCTGGAGAGATATCTACCTCTACAATTTCAGGGCTCCTTCTACTCCTCAGAAATGCTCGATGCAAGGCACCCCATTGTCTCCATAATTAACAGGAAGCACACATGGGAATGTCAGAAGAGTTAACAAGCTGAGAGATACAATGATAGGATCCGCATGTTCCTGAACACTTTTAAAGCAGCCAAGGGCCCTTAATCCTGACTGCACACCTCCAGGTGGATCACACATGGTGACATAGGATAGGAGTCCATTCTCTGCCTACTGGACAGTTACATCTTTCCACAAGTGTCGCACTCACTGCAACACAATGCCACACAATGTAAGAGGGACGAAACTTCCCCTTTATCAACACTTTATTGTGTAATGATACTGCGTCTGTATAAACACGCCACTCTGTATAATACTGAGTATCTATACGCTGATAATGAACACAGCACTCTGTATAATGATACTGAGTATCTATACACTGATACTGAACACAGCGCTCTGTATAATGATACGGAGTATCTATACGCTGATAATGAACACCGCGCTCTGTATAATGATACCGAGTATCTACACACTGATAATGAACACGCCGCTCTGTATAATGATACTGAACACAGCGCTCTGTATAATGATACTGAGTATCTATACACTGATAATGAACACAGCGCTCTGTATAATGATACTGAGTATCTATACGCTGATAATGAACACAGCGCTCTGTATAATAATACTGAGTATCTATACACTGATAATGAACACAGCGCTCTGTATAATGATACTGAGTATCTATACACTGATAATGAACACAGCGCTCTGTATAATGATACTGAGTATCTATACGCTTATAATGAACACGCCGCTCTGTATACTAATACTGAGTATCTATACGCTGATAATGAACACGCCGCTCTGTATAATGATCCTGAGTATCTATACACTAATAATGAACACAGCGCTCTGTATAATAATACTGAGTATCTATACACTGATAATGAACACAGCGCTCTGTATAATGATACTGAGTATCTATACACTGAATGAACACAGTGCTCTGTATAATGATACTGAGTATCTATACACTGATAATGAACACAGCGCTCTGTATAATAATACTGAGTATCTATACACTGATAATGAACACAGCGCTCTGTATAATAATACTGAGTATCTATACACTGATAATGAACACAGCGCTCTGTATAATGATACTGAGTATCTATACACTGATAATGAACACAGCGCTCTGTATAATGATACTGAGTATCTATACGCTTATAATGAACACGCCGCTCTGTATACTAATACTGAGTATCTATACGCTGATAATGAACACGCCGCTCTGTATAATGATACTGAGTATCTATACACTAATAATGAACACAGCGCTCTGTATAATGATACTGAGTATCTATACGCTGAAAATGAACACGCCGCTCTGTATAATGATACTGAGTAGCTATACGCTGATAATGAACACAGCGCTCTGTATAATGATACTGAGTATCTATACGCTGATAATGAACACAGCGCTCTGTATAATGATACTGAGTATCTACATGCTGATAATGAACACAGCGCTCTGTATAATGATACTGAGTATCTACATGCTGATAATGAACACAGCGCTCTGTATAATGATACTGAGTATCTACATGCTGATAATGAACACAGCGCTCTGTATAATGATACTGAGTATCTACACACTGATAAGGAACACAGCGCTCTGTATAATGATCTGAGTATCTACACACTGATAATGAACACAGCGCTCTGTATAATGATACCGAGTATCTACACACTGATAATGAACACGCCGCTCTGTATAATGATACTGAACACAGCGCTCTGTATAAAGATACTGAACACAGCGCTCTGTATAAAGATACTGAACACAGCGCTCTGTATAATGATACTGAGTATCTATACGCTGATAATGAACACAGCGCTCTGTATAATGATACTGAGTATCTATACGCTGATAATGAACACAGTGCTCTGTATAATGATACTGAGTATCTACACGCTGATAATGAACACAGCGCTCTGTATAAAGATACTGAACACAGCGCTCTGTATAAAGATACTGAACACAGCGCTCTGTATAAAGATACTGAACACAGCGCTCTGTATAATGATACTGAGTATCTATACGCTGATAATGAACACAGCGCTCTGTATAATGATACTGAGTATCTACACGCTGATAATGAACACAGCGCTCTGTATAATGATACTGAGTATCTACACGCTGATAATGAACACACCGCTCTGTATAATGATACTGAGTATCTATACGCTGATAATGAACACAGCGCTCTGTATAATGATACTGAGTATCTATAAGCTGATAATGAACACACTGCTCTGTATAATGATACTGAGTATCTATACGCTGATAATGAACACAGCGCTCTGTATAATGATACGGAGTATCTATACGCTGATAATGAACACAGCGCTCTGTATAATAATACTGAGTATCTATACGCTGATAATGAACACAGCGCTCTGTATAATGATACTATCTATACGCTGATAATGAACACAGCGCTTTGTATAATGATACTGAGTATTTTTACGCTGATAATGAACACAGCGCTCTGTATAATGATACTGAGTATCTATACACTGATAATGAACACAGCGTTCTGTATAATAATACTGATTATCTACACTCAGTACAGCTGCACCCATAGTGAATTGAATGCAGGGAGTTTGTGATTAGGGAGCACTTTGAAGCCCAGTATTTAAACAGTTAAAATGCCATAAAATCAGCAAATGCAGAGTTTCCCGCTAATCCTCGTTGATTTTGGAAAATGTTAGTGGTTTACTAACTTTACAGGAACTCAGATCCAGACAGTCTCAAGGTTTCCGTGTGTTCCATAGCAGAATTACTCACACTTTATTGCGCACGGTTAGTATTTCTGAGAATGCATTACCGCTTATTTTATGTATTTACTAGGTGTCAAGCTATTCATTAAAACATCCACAGAAAGGACAACAACACAGAGGATCAAAGGGAGTTTATAGACGAACTTGAGAACTATCTTCTCTATTTAAAGGGCTACTACAAGCACCATAACCACTTCTATCTGCAGTGTTCCTGTATGTGTGAAATGCTGCACATACCGAGTTTAACCCGGAACCAGGGTTCTAGACTGGCTAATGTCAGTTCTGTGCAAAGTTAATTGCACAGACACTCATTGTCTGATCGTGGTCAGCTGATGCTCTAGGCCAATGAATGAACAGCACTTGAGTACTACCACCATAACCACCACAGGGGGGCTGTAATAACCCTTTAAGGAGGAAAATAAAATCCACTTTTTGAAAAAACAGAACAGAAAACCCATTGAGGATTATTTACTAACAGTGATTTAAGGTGAATGGAAAACAAAATTGCAAAATTCAGGGTAAAATAGCGAAGCTGTGACTACATCGATGTTGAAGAATTTTTCGAAATCAACTATTTTGCTGTTTAGATTTCAATAAAGTACAACTCACTGATTGAATAGGCCATGATGCATCTCCCATGTGTGTAATATTGGAATGACACTCTCTCTCCCCCCCCCCGCTCCGCTCCAACCTCAGTCCCTGAAGGCTTGACTGGGGCCTCTTTGCAGCCCTACTCCCAGGCACATATTGCCCCCTTCGCAAGCCCTTCTCCCAGGCAGGTATCGCCCGCTCTGCTTATTCCTCTGCTGTTTTCCTTCCATGTAGAAATGCACCTCTGCTTGCAACACATTTACGGCTCTCAGACCTAGCTCTCTTTCGTTTATTCCAGGATTAGAAGGATCAGTAGCCAACATAATAGTACAACAACTCCATGGCTGGGATCCCTAATAATTCCACACAGAACCAAAAAGATCAGCTTTTACTCGGGACTAGCCCATATGCTCATTACATAAAGCTTACTGTGATAACTCAATAAAAATACAAACAATCAAATCATATTAGACAATATACAGGAACTTGTAAGAACATAATGACAAATTTATAAATGGGTGGGGAATACAATAATTAATACAAAACATCTCTCCTGCCTGCAGAATTAGCAATATGCAAATCTACCTGAATATGCAAATTAACAAGCCTTGCTATTCAGGTAGTGCATATAGTTGTTGCTACCAACAGAGGGCGCAATATAGGCTCCATAGCCAAATCCCCCTAGTTGGTAGCAAACCTCAGCAGGACAGGAGAGCACAAAAAACAATGAACAATAAATACTTAATACACACCCTGCACCTATAACTGGCACAAGGTGTTCGTCCAAAACTCCTGGATGGACAAAATCAAGTGAAAATGAATGAATTCCATCAATGGCAATTCTCATATTTACTAAAGGTAATTCAGGACGGAATTTGGTAAACCAGACCGTATCCACAACAATAGTCCGGATGCATTAGATGTCTGGGATAAAATCCAGTGCTTTTCGCATCCAAGTAAAGGATTGCGAATATGTACGAAGCACTGCTTTTAAACACAATAGGGACAAACTGCATGCAGCACTATGCACAATCGCAAACGGTCGTTCACTTGTTTTTAGTGAGCGGCTGCTCGATGTAATTAAAAACTAGTGACTAGGTAGTTATGTAGCTGTCCCGTCGTGAGGCCTGTAAAAGGGGGAGACTTGCTAAACAGGATGGCTTTCTAGCAATAGCTTCCTAGCTGCATGGTTTCAGTTCACTGTTTGGTAGACGTGCCCCAACCTACGGCATGGTGGGTGGGGGCATGAACGAAGTTAAAAACTTATCATCCCCATGGCCTTTTTCAAATATATATTTTTTAACACTTTCTAGCAAGTGCTGGTCAGCTGCCACATTATTAACCCTTGGATTTATTTACTCTGTCCTCGGGATGCTAGCCCTGCCAGCGGGGAAAACAGTTACATTTTTTAAACTCTGGGCCCTGATTTCCACAAAGTTAATATGTCTACATTACTAAACATCTGGCATGTACCATTTAGAACATCCGCTGCACACAGCACATAACAACACAGGGTGCTGAGCTCACCGCATTGTGCAATGCTCACATGTGCGTCTGCAGTCAGTCCCAGTGTCTAGTGTGTTTCTACTGCGTAAACAATGCGGACAGAGGAAGAAGGTTTCAGAGTTTACTACCAAATGCACAATGTTCTGAGAGGAAATCCGACATGTTGTAATGTTCTCCGGCTGTGTACGAATATACAATCTATACGTTAATAATCAACTAATTATAGCCAGTTAAACAATACACTGTCCTGTTTACATGGTCTATGGGGGGTTCTACAGAGGCCAGATTTCTGTTCCAAAACCTTCACTATAAAGGACAAAAAAAATCTAAATAATTTTTTTTTTAAAATGACAATCAAAGCAAAGCCAGGAACTCACAAGACACATTTTGGGTGAATATTTGGTAAATTTACTTTCATCTGAAATGTAAAACTTTGCTCTAAAATTCGAAGTCTTCGCAGCCCACAAATAAACAGTTCAATAAATAAATGATCGATTATATTATCTATTATAACAGAGGATAAACCAGAAGGCACTCCAAAGGCATGTCATTCATATCACATTAATGGCTGTAGCGGAACCCCTTTTTGGCTGTCCTATTCCGTTTAATAATTGTTGGCCCTGCGGAGATTTTCCTGTGCATAAAGTACCCAAAACTGTAAGTGACTAGATATGGACATACTTTGTTCGGTATGGGAATAACAGCTGACATGTGAACCACCAAAATTCCCCATACGAACAAAGTACCGAATGAACCGGACCACCCTGATGTGTATAATGGATCTATTTACCTCCCCGCTTGCATTTCATTCCCTTGTACGCATGAACCCGCCGCCATTTCGGCAGCCGAACACTTGGCGGCCGCCATCTTAAATCCGCGAACAGAGGTGTTTGGCCGTCGAGTGTCTGGAACTGAAAACGGACACTCGACTAGCCGAACACCGCTAAGACCTCCAGGGCTTCAGAAGGCACGGATGGAAACCCACGAACGGCCCGGCGTTCGGTAGGATGAATCCCACGAACTAGGGCATTCATCCGGTTACCGAATGCATT